AGGTACATGCCCTTGACCAGAATCGAACCTGGGACCTTTCAGTCCGCAGGCCAACGCTCTATCCACCGAGCCAAACCGGTTTCGGCCTCCTTTTTCTTTAAGGTCCTGTCTAACCTGGGACACTAAGCATTTTTGTAATGAAATTGTATTCAAATGTTTTCATGCCTCCAAGCTTCAAACCATCTAAGGCAGCGGTTCTCAACCTGTGGGTCACGACCCCTTTGGGGGTCGAATGACCCTTTCACAGGGGTCGCCTAAGACCATCGGAAAACACATATATAATTACATATTGTTTTTGTGATTAATCACTATGCTTTAATTATGTTCAATTTGTAACAATGAAATTGGGGGTCACCACAACATGAGGAACTGTATTAAAGGGTCATGGCATTAGGAAGGTTGAGAACCACTGATCTAAGGGCTACTGGCTCTCCAGGGCCCAGGTTTTGGCTTCTCCCTTTCTCCTTAACCCCTGCCCAGGGTTGGGCACACAGTGGGTCAGTGAGTGGGTGCCCTGAGTGCCACCCTGGCTCAGGCCTCCCTGCCCTTTGCAGGGCCTGGTTGTTTCCACCCGGCTCCGGGGATCTGCAGAGCCACCGGCAGGCACCGATTAGGCAGAGGCTGAAGACTAACAAATGCCTTCCTGCAGAAGGGGACAGGAGAGGTGGCAGCTTAGCAGCTTCTCCCATGGCCTGTGCCGCCCCTCCCCCCACCATAAAACCTCCAGAGTGGGCAGCCATGTGTCCCAGGCGCCGATTACATAACGTGTTGCTTCCAAATGCGGGGCCATCCCACTGCTTGGGGTTATAGGTTGCCTGTCTGGTTTTTCCAAGCTGTCTCTCAGAGCTCAGTCCCGGGCTGAGGTTGGTCCCAGGGTGTTCTCCCCCGGCGTTGCGAGCGGGGACCCTTCCCTGACCTCCGACTTGATGTCAGCTCACCGGGCTGTGACCCTTGCTGACCCTTGCTGTTTCTTTGGAGGGTGCTCTGACCAGCTCCTGGATCTCAAGTTTCATCTATTTCAGGGCCCTGGCGCAGCTGGACACACCAAGGGGATTGTTATTTTGGAGCTTGCTGGCGGCCTGCAGCTGCTCCTGACCCCAAGGGGTGGAGAGGATGGGAGAGAAGACATGGTTGAGCTGGGCACTCGCCCCAGGGATTCAGTTTTTAGCTGTTCCCCAGCATCTCTCAGCTCCTGCAATATTTCAAGCAAGGCCAAAGGAGTCATTTTCCTGTCTCTTCTCTCTCTCTACTTCCCACTGATTTCTCCTTCTTGCTCTTCTTTCTTCTCTAATCTCCACTTGTAGCTTCTCCCTCCTGGTCTTCGGTCAGCGATGTCATGCAGTGATTATGTCTTGGCTGCCCCTCGTGACTGCCATAAAGTCCTGCATTTAAGTCCAAAAAGTTAATTGCCTGAGTGCCGGTGGGCCTGACTTTGTTTGGCAAACTCAACCTGAGCAAATACTAATATCTGAATTTATCAGGTACCCAGGTGCCAGGGGCTTCTACTCGCCCTCTGATCCCTGTAACAACATCGAAAGACAATTACCCTTACCCCTGTTCTCTGTGTGAGTGATCTGAGGCTGGAAGAAGGTTGCTTACCCACAGGCCACCAGCCAAGGACTGGATCGGACACTTAAACGCATGCCTGAATCACCCCAAAGCCCATGCACTTTCTTCTGAGCCACGTCCATGTAAGAAGATAGTAACGGTGGCTCATATGAACCTGGTGATGATTATATGTCTATGTATCTTATTCCACCTCATCTTGACAGCATCCCTTCTGAGGGGAGTATTAGAACACAGATGTGTACCAGTCAGTAAATGTTGATTTCACTGCTGAGGAAGAGGGGCCCAGAGAGGTTAAGCTATTTGTCCAAGGTGATACAGCTAGGAAATGGCAGAGCCAGGATTCGAACCCAAGCTGATGACGTCAAATTCTTGCACTTAATTATGCTCCCATCTTGCTTACCAGTATATGGAAACTGGTTACTAATAAAACCTAGGCTACGGTTAGGTTGCATCATTAGAAGTATGGTATACATATCAAGGGAGGTGATGGCCACACTGTGCCTTGAGCTGGTCAGGGCACATCTGGAGTACCAAATCTGGTTCTGTTCATTGACTAACAGGTGGGAAGGTATGTGGGGAGTCTGAGTATTCCCTGAGGAGAGCTGTCTTCAGTGTGGGGCTGAGGTAGTGGATATAAATACAATGAGGTATATTTCAGTTTAAGAGAAGGAAACACTTTCTTTTTTAAAAAATATATATATTTTATTGATTTTTTACAGAGAGGAGGGGAGAGGGATAGAGAGTTAGAAACATCAATGAGAGAGAAACATCGATCAGCTGCCTCCTGCACACTCCCTACTGAGGATGTGCCCACAACCAAGGCACATGCCCTTGACTGGAATCGAACCTGGGACCCTTCAGTCCGCAGGCTGACGCTCTATCCACTGAGCCAAACCAGTTAGGGCAGGAAACACTTTCTTAAAGTCAGAGTAGCTCAGCAATGGCGCAGGTTGCCTGGGAGGTAGTGAATACCCACTAGTGGGCATATTCAAGTGGAAGAGGACTCTATATTCAAATAGAAGGGGCAGAGACCAGGAAAATGCACATCCAGTCCCACTCAGAAATCTGTTTTGAGGGTCTTCCCAGCTCCACGGGCTCTGACTGATTGTCCTGAGTGCGTGGGGGGTGGGAAGAGAAGTGTGGGGGTGCACATGCGTGTGGGCCCCGTGACAGCCTTGTTCCTGTAGACCTGGCTGGGCATCTCTGAGCCACTTGTTTTTTCCTCACCCTGCTGTCCCTGTTCCTTCCTCGCCCTGTCTCCACCTCTCCGGAGTCCTCAAGGCCACTGCCTGGAATCCCGGAGTGGGTGGGGGAGCAAGGCCTGTTCCCTGGAGTCCACAGCCTTCCCCAGGTTTCCACTTTGTCTCTGGTGCCTCCCCCTCCTGCCTGGGCCCCCCTCGTCTCTGCTCTCCACAGCCCCCCAGCCTCTCTGCACCATTGCTGTCACAGAGTCAATTCCCTGGAATAATCTCATTTTCCGGTTGGCTCCCTTCTCCTTGCCAAGCATGATGCTGGGAAATCCCAACCAGCCAGGCCCCAAGAGGCTTCTCCAGAGAGACAGGGGATTGGGGGAGGGCCCAGCACCCTCTCCTTGCGTGGGCCTAAACAACACTGCTCCTGGAAAGGGCGAGGGCTGGGTAGGAGAGGACACACACAGGGAGGCTTTAGGGACATCTCGAGGGTTAGCTAGAGCTGGATTCGGGCCTCTGCTGGCCATACCAGTCCAGTCCCCCAAGCTCTGCTCTCACACCAAGCACCCCAGCCATCCTTACCCAGTTCCTAGAGGTAGCACAGTTCCTCCCAGAGGGAGGCTCAGAGAAAAGGCTCCCAGGGAAGGATTGGCTCATGATGTGGCCTACAGTGGCACTAGCCCAAATTTGGGGACTCCCACAGAAGGGGTTCGATACAAAGGAGGGCCTGAAGCAAAGACTGTCATTGGAAGTTGGACAGTTGGAAGTTGCTTGAATCCTGGATCTGCCACTTGGTGACTATCATGTAACATCTCCGAGCTTTGTCTGTATAGCAGGAACACCGCCATGGAAGGCTTTGGGGATGAAATGCAGGGGTAATGCCGCGTGCACACGGACTTTAGTATAAATTACAGGACTCCATAAAGCTGGACATAGCACAGCCATTTTAAAAATATGCTGTCAGAAACATGGTCATTGGCATGAAAAGGTGTTCAGGACATACATAGTAAGTGGAAAAGCTAGTTTTGAAAAGGAAATCTGTATGGCAGGGTCCTTAGCCTGGAGTCCATGCCCATGGATGGTTTTATGCGATTCACAGATGCCCTAAAATTATCCAAAGAATTTAGGGAGAATGTGCATTTTTCAGAGGAGGGGAATAAGTCAAAGTTATCACATTTTCAAAGGGATTTGTTACCCACACATGGTTAAAAACTACTGGCATTTATATAGCATGATTCAATGTTTGTATTTAAAAAATGGTAGCAAAAATTATATTGAAAAGACTGCAAGGTCATACATCCAAATATTAATAGTATTTTTTTTTCTGGATGGTGGGCTGATGGGCGATTATTTTTCTGTATGACTTGTATGATTAAAAAGAGACAGGTTTTGATTTCCTATTAAGTCACTTTCGAAAAGGATAGCTTGGGTAAACTTGCTCAGTTTTTCTCAGCTGAAATGCCCTTCAGTGGCAACAATAACTTCAAAAGGTACTTGTTAGGATAAGATGAGAAGATTTATGCAAAGAGGAGTTCCGGGGATGTCAGCAGTGCATTCAGCACATTTATTTACTACTTGTATATGTGTGGGGCTCTTCTAGTTGCTGAGGATAAAGAGAGAAGGTCTCAGGAGTTAAAATTTAAAAAACATCTTTTATAAGCGTGTCATTTAGAAGCAATCATGTTTTGTTTTTGTTAATCCTCACCTGAGGATTTTTTTTAATTGATTTTTTTTTTTTTTTTGAGAGAGAGAGAGAGAGAGAGAGGAAGGGAGAGGGACAGATAGAAACATCATCCATCAACTGCCTCCTGCACGCCCCCTACTGGGGAATTGAGCCTGAAACCGAGCATGTGCCCTGACTGGGAATGGAACCCAGTGATGGAACTTGGTGACCTCTGGGTTCATGGGTCTATGCTCAACCACTGAGTTGGGCACCTGAGGATATTTTTTCCATTGCTTTTCAGAGAGAGTGGAAGGGAGGGGCGGGGGTGAGAAAGAGAAACCAATGTGAGAGAGACACATCCACTGGTTGCCTCCTCCATGTGCCCTGACGGAGGGCGGGGAGTGAACCGGAAATCCAGACACATGCCCTTGACTGGGAATCAAACCATGACTCTTTGGTCCTCGGGCTGACTCTCTAACCACTGAACCACAGCAATCATGTTTTTAATTTTGTTACCAGGACCCCGGTATTTGAGTCTGCCTGCACACATTGGCCCAAAAGGAAGGCAGGAGCAGGAATTTGCAGTATAGAAAGAAAAAGTTTAATAGTTAATAGGCCAATCCTCTAAAGATCCAACTCCCCAAATGGCATCTAAGTTACAGATTATATAGGGAAAAATCACAAGGTACCTGGGGTTAGGGGTTCCAGACTGTGCTGGAAGCTGATTGGTTGGAAGTTAGGTAAGGGTAATGAATGATTTCTTCAGGTCTTGAAGATAGCTCTGAGGTCTGCTCTGGCATTCCTCTGTCTGGTTTCATTGAAAAGTAGCCAGGGGCTCAGGAGCTGAAACATAACGTAGGTCAAGATATTATCTTTAACCTGCAAGAAGTCCACATCTTGTGACTATTAGTTAGGTTCCTGCTATTGTCTTCTGCTGCCTCAGGGCTTGGGAGGAGAGGCTAGGACCTAGCCGCTAGGTCTATGAGGGGTGTAGAGAGAGAGATGATTTCTAGAGCTAGGATTCAAACCTAAATTTAATCAAAGTCATAAGGACCCTCGGTTTCAATTTTGGTGTCTTTCCTTCCAGCTTAATCTTTTGCTTAAGCAAATAGTTTAGAGGTTCTGTACAACTTTGGTTGCTGATTTGCTCGTTAGTTTATATCCTAAGCATTGTCTATGCCTTTAAAAGTCCGTTGTTGTTTTTTTAAATCTTACTGTTGAGAGTATTGCAGATGTTCCCTCTTTTCCCCCCATTGCCCCCTCCACCTGGTTCCCATCCTGCCCCAGGCCTTCACCACTCTATTGTCTGTGTCCATAGGTAATGCACATATATAAGATCTTTGGTTAATTTCTCCCCCTCTTTCCTCTGAGATTCGTCAGTCTGTTCCATGTTTCCATGCCCCTGATTCTGTATTTATTCACCAGTTAATTTTCATTAGATTTCTTGTTCACTTATTTTGATTTTTAGATTCAATTGTTGATAGATATGTATTTATTGCCTTCTTTTTCTTCTTCCTCCCCCTCCTCCTCATCCTCAATACCCTTCAACATTTCATGTAATACTGGTTTGGTGGTGATGAACCCCTTTAGCTGTTTCTTGTCTGTGAAGCTCTTTATCTGACCTTCAATTCTAAATGATAACTTTGCTGCATAGAATAATCTTGGTTTGTAAGTCCTTCCTATTCATGACTTTGAATATTTCTTGCCACTCCCTTCTGACGTCCAAAGTTTGTTGAGAAATCAGCTGACGGTTATATGGGCGCTCCCTTGTAGGTAACTGACTATTCTTTATTTCAATTAGTGTATGCTTAATTTCTGACTGGTCCTTTTTCATGTCTTTGAACTTCTCACTAAGATCCTTGAAAGTCTCATTAAGTCCCTTGAAACTCTCATTAAGATCCTTGAGTAACCATGGTTTTGAACTCTGTATCCAGTAGTTTGCTTGCTTCCATTTCTTTCATTTGTGACATGTTTCTGAATTTGTCTCTGCATTTTGGCTGCTTCCCTGTGTTTGTTTCTATGTATTAGATAGAGCTGCTATGTCTCCTGGAATTGGTAGCGTGGCCTTAAGTAGGTTTCAGGCATGCTCACACCAGCTGCTGTTTGAGAGAGTTTAGCAAAATCTGAAGCCTGAGTCAGGACAGGCCATTCATATGGAAAAGCTGCTGCAAACAGCTTGGGTGGGGCGGGGTCTCAGGGAATCACCAGGGCTGAGCAACAGTGTGAGCCAGGCTGATGGAGACGGATATGGCTGCCAGTCAGCCCTGTAATGCGGGAAGGTCTCAGCACAGGAACAATGACCCCTGTGAGCACCCCATCTGGAAGAAAGCCACCCCTGAGTTCCTGCCGGGATACCAGATCCTCCCCGTATGTCCCTGGGTCCTCCAAAGCCGTCTGGTGCCAGCCCTTTAAGAGGAACACTTGAGTCCCCAGCAGCCTCCATGCCACTTAGCCACAATCCCTGCTGGTTTTTACAGCCCAAAGTTAAGGGTTCCCAGCTCTGGAACCCTGGGCTGGGGGTCTGGTGTGGGACTGGGACCCCTTGCTCCTCAAGGGGTGGTGGGGGTGGGGGGGCGGCGCTCTGCGGGGGAGATATCCTCAATTTAAAAAAAACAGCACATATGGGTGTCGGACAGGACCAGCGGGTTCTGTGCCTGTGCCCATCCTACCCGTCTCAATGTGCTTAAAAGTCCGGTGTTTTGATGCCCCAGACTAGCTGGAGGAAGGGTGCAGGTGATGGGGACTGACCGGTGTCCCCGCTTCCTTGCCACAGACAGCGAGCTGGTGCTGCCGGACTGCCTGCGGCCCCGCTCCTTCACCGCCCTGCGGAGGCCGTCGCTGCGGCGCGAGGCCGACGACGCGCGCCTCTCGGTGAGCCTGTGCGACCTCAACGTGCCGGCGGGGGAAGGCGAGGAGGCCCCGCAGGCCGCGGGCTGCCCGATCCCGCAGAACTCGCTCAACTCGCAGCACAGCCGCGCGCTCCCCGCGCAGCTCGACGGCGACCTGCGCTTCCACCCGCTGCGCGCCGGCGCGCACGTCCGGATCCTGGACGAGCAGACGGTGGCGCGCCTGGAGCACGGGCGCGACGAGCGCGCGCTCGTCTTCACCAGCCGGCCGGTGCGCGTGGCCGAGACCGTCTTCGTCAAGGTCACGCGCTCCAGCGGCGCCCGGCCGGGCGCGCTCTCCTTTGGCGTCACCACGTGCGACCCCGGCACGCTGCGGCCCGCGGACCTGCCCTTCAGCACGGAGGCCCTGGTGGACCGCAAGGAGTTCTGGGCCGTGTGCCGCGTGCCCGGGCCCCTGCAGAGCGGCGACATCCTGGGCCTGGTGGTCAACGCCGAGGGCGAGCTGCACCTGAGCCACAACGGCGCCGCCGCGGGCATGCAGCTGTGCGTGGACGCCTCGCAGCCCCTGTGGATGCTCTTCGGTCTGCATGGAGCCATCGCGCAGATCCGCCTCCTCGGTGAGTGCCCCTGGCCAGGTGCCAGCCGCCTGCACAGCACCCAGAGGCTGGCTGCAGCTGCACTCCGCCACACCCGGCAGGAGCCCTTCCTGGAAGAGGGGCCCATCCGGATAGGGGATTAGAGGGGCCACCCGCCCTGCGGGGTTGTCTAGAAGCCACACACCTGAAATGAGTTTGGGGCGGGACTCCTCGGCCCTCACATCTCACTAGAGCAGTGGTTCTCAACCTTGGCTGCACATTAGAAGCACCTGGGAATCTTTTTAACATCCTGATTTCTGGGCCTCATCCTCCGGAAATTCTGTTTCTTTGTTACTAATGTTGTGGCCCCACCCCATAACAAAGAAACAGAATTTCCGGAGGATGAGGCCCAGAAATCAGGATTTTAAAAAGATTCCCAGATGATTCTAATGTGCAGCCAAGGATGAGAACCACTGCACTAGACGCACCCGGGGAGGGAAGAAAGGATTGCTGAGTGTCACTCTCAGAATCGGATTAACCCCCATTCCCACCGATGTGCCGCAAACAGTCCAGGTACACACACTCCAGTGGACACTTCAAATGAGAAAATAGTTTCCACCAGCTCAGTTTTAATTCTTCCAAATGGGAAAAAAAAATGCCTTTGCCTCTTAGTATGGTTGTGTGCTCAAATCAGGAAAAGAGGTTGGCGAGTCCGTAGTCAGGTGTCTGTACAGGGTGGCGCCTGGGTTGGGGCCTGTGGGGAATCTCCGAGCAGAGGGCCTTGGAGGAGATGGGGCTGCAGAAGGCCGAGCTTTGCTCTCCTGGGTTTGAATGGACAGGTTTGGATGGAAGCCGTGTTTCCCGGAGTGTTCGGTGGGTTAGGTATCAGTTGCAAAAGGGCTCTTGGGTTAAAGAAGCCTGGGAAATACTGAGTTTTTAAAAAGCAGGGGGTTATTTATTTATTTTTTAATGTTTAAATTTAGCTTTTATTATAGTAATACATGCATAGAACACATAAAAAATGATAAAGTCCGAAAGGTTTACACCAAAACTACCAGTGCATTCCCCACCCCAAAGGAAACCACCTCCAGTTCTTTTACTTTTTCAGTGATGTACACATGCTTCTTTCTCATGTTGATTTTAGATGTCATTCTTCTCTATTATGACAAAGGGAATTTTTAAGTCTCTTATGCCCCCTCCTTCCAATTCTTCCACTCTTCCTAATACTAGAACGCGGGGAAACGTTTCCTTTGTGTAGAAGTCCACAGATAGTTCTCCACACACAACCTAGTCCTGAGGATATATTTTTATTGATTTTGAGAGAGAGAGAGAGAGAGAGAGAGAGAGGAAGGGAGAGAGAGAGAGAAACACCGATCATTCATTGGTTGCCTCCCATTCACCCCCTGACCAGGAATGGAGCTTGAAACCTCGGCATATGCCCTGACTGGGGATCAAACCAGCCACCTTTTGGTGTACAGGATGATGCTCCAACCAACCCAGCCACTCCGCCAGGGCTTAGAAAGCAGGATTCTGTACTGCAGAACTTCTCAGAGCCTTTGATATGCAGAGTGAATCTTTAAGGAGGGAGTGGTGGTGGTTATGGTATACCAAACAAAAATATTTTTTTTTTACAAAGCATTTCCTGGACCTCTGTCACCCCAAGGTGGGCAGGTATTCATGCTTTCCAGTGCCGGTCTGCTAATCGCCTGCAGTAGAGTGGGCTAGTTTCATTACACTCACTGCGAGAACCCGCTAAAGTGCAGATTCTTGAGTACCTTCAGAGACTTTGATTCTGTACATCTTGGATAGGTCCCGGGCATCTGAATGTTTTTAGCAAGTTTGCTTTGACAAGTTTAAAGACCCCAGGAGGCTTCATAGACAAGATAATGTGTGTATGTGAGTGAGCATGAGTTACACTGTAAGATTGGCACACTGTGTGTAGGCACATGTGAGTACCTAAATGGGTATGTTATTTGTGGATGTAATGCTGTTGGTGATTGTGGGAGTGTGCCAAAAATCAGATAAAATCAGTGGGAACTTCCTACTGTGTTCCAGAAACCAAAGGAAGATGGAGTTAAAATAAATTTTAGAAAGAATGAAAAGAAATGAGGCTGGGATGCTAAGAAGTTAGGATTGAGCGACGATAAATCAGGGAGGAATGAATGAAGAGAAATCAAGCTAGATGAAAAGACATCAGTAGGAAAGAAGTTGGGGGTGAAAGTTCAGGATGGAATAAAAAGAAATCAGGTGCAGCAAAAATCAGGCTGAGGTAAAAAGCTATTTGGCTACACTCACCAGGAGCCACTGCTCCTCAGATGAAGTAAATTACATAAGGGCAAGGTACTCTCTTGCCTCAGCACCATCTAATAATAGATAAGTAGCTTTCCAGTGAGACTTCTGTTGCCCAAAGAGGCTTACTAGACTGGAGCAAAGAAGATGCTTAGAAATAATATCAGGACTTAAATGTCTCAAGAGGTAAGTGGGCCAAGATGGGTGGTGAAGAATAATCATTCAGAATTCAGTATACAGGGTGCTCTGGGGCTGTTTGGAGGATTGGGTATCTCCACCAGCAAATTGGTGTTAGGGGATCCTGACTGACTCCAAAAGAAAAGTAAACCAGTGACCCTGTATGAAGGGTAACGATTTACCTTATAGAGGAATGCTTTGCTTTATTGATGACCTAAGTGAACTAAGAATGGAAAGTGTGACGTTCCTTCACTCCCAAACTATAGCACATTTTATAATGGTGAAACACTAGAAATGCTCTCACTACAGTCAGGAATCTGATAAGGATGCCTTTCAGTATTGTTCTGAAAATGCTAGCTAGTGCAGTAGGCAAGAAAAACAAATAGGAGGTATTATTCTGAAGGAGGTAATAATTAACTTGAAAACTATTAACAATAGTAAGAGACACCCTGTGGATATCTAATGAATATGCTAGAAACAGTGACTAAATGGGTTAGAGCAAATAACTGATTTTAGAGATCTCATCGAGTACTGGTGTGTAGGGCATTCTGGCAGTGGTTCTCAACCTTGGCTGCACATTAGAATCACCTGGGAATCTTTTTAAAATCCTGATTTCTGGGCCTCACCTCCGGAAATTCTGTTTCTTTGTTATGGGTTGGGGCCACAACAGTAGTAACAAAGAAACGGAATTTCTGGAGGATGAGGCCCAGAAATCAGGATTTTGAAAAGATTCCCAGGTGATTCTAATGTGCAGCCAAGGTTGAGAACCACTGTGTTTGTTAAGGCCTGTGAGAGAGTCACAGGTGAATAAGATTACCTGCTCGCAGGAGGCTCATGGTTTAACTGGGGAAACAAAGCTGCATTCCTGGAAAAAGGACAAATAATACCCCAGTCTGTGGTGGTTTAGTCCCCTTGTATGTGATGTGTGTGGCTGGTCCATGCTAAAGAGAGTGATGTGGTTGGGGGGAGGGGGTCACGGGTGTCAGGAGGAGGGGGTTTGAGGACAGCTCCAAGAGGCTCCCTGGATCATTAGCTGTTTGAGGGCAAGAGCTCTGTGGGTCTTGTCCCCAGTTTTATACACATACACAGTGTTGCTACCTGGTAGGCCCTCAGGACTACCTGGGAGGAGGGAGGAGGGAGGGAAGGGGAGGTGAGAAGTAGAAGAGGGAGAGGTGTGAGGGCCTGGGAAAGAATGTAGGACAGACAAGTGTGGGGGATGGTGAGGGGCATTTCAAAGGTGCCAGTGCAAAGGAGAAGTGGGCGCGATATCCGGGGACAGTGATGAGGGTGAGGCTAGGGCTGGAAGGGCCATTCTGGGTGGGAGGAGGGTGACTTTGTTCTCTGGCTGGGGAAACCTTGCAGGTGAAGGATGCCTGGGGGAGGGTGGAGGTGGGCTTCTAGGCAGGGGCTTGTTTGGAGATTGCTGATGTAACGCCAGAGAGCTGGGGCAGGATGCTGACCCAGCCTGTGGCATCCTGCCCTGAGCCCAGGGGCTGGGCTGTGTGCTCAGACTGTGGCCCCCACTTTATCTCCTGGGAACCTACTGGAGGGCCGGAGACTTGAGCTTTCTCCCAATGGGCCTTTGTGTTGCTAGTACATCCCTCCCTCCCCTTCTACAGGCTCCACCATTCTGGCAGAGCGGGGCATCCCATCACTTCCCTGCTCCCCCGCCTCCACACCAACCTCGCCCAGTGCCCTGGGCAGCCGCCTCTCTGACCCCTTGCTCAGCACCTGCAGCTCGGGACCTCTGGGGAGCTCTGCTGGCGGTAAGTGGGCTGGCCCCTCCAGGCCGATGGTATCTGTGCCAGACTTCCTACCCCGAGACCCTGGCCAGGGAAGGCATGCAGCTCCAGTGTCAGGGCTGGGGCCCTGGAGGAGTGGGAGTGGCCTAGTGAACCCTTGTTGGATGGCCATTTCTGGGGTGTATTCCCTTCTGTCCCCTAGCTGGGTACCTTTCTCCAAAGGACATTTTTAGCTTACAGGGAACACCAAAGGATAGCTCAGGCGGAGCCTGCCTTAAAAGATTTGGGGCCCCCTTTTTCCTCCCCCCGTTCCTCCAATCCTGCTTCATGGACACCCTGGCCCCTGGTCTGGGAGCTGAGGGGCCAGCAGTGGGGCTGCCCAAGGCGCATCCTCTCCCCTCTTGTGTCCAGGAAGTTGGGGTGTCAGAGTAAACAGGTAGATCTGATAAGTGGAGGGGGGACAAGAGGCCAGGGGGCTCCCTTCCCATGAACCTGGGTCTGGACTGGACCACGTCTCCCTTGACCGGTGTCCCCTCACCTCCAGGGACAGCCCCCAACTCGCCGGTGAGCTTGCCCGAGTCGCCGGTGACCCCAGGCACGGGCCAGTGGAGTGATGAGTGCACCATTTGCTATGAGCACGCAGTGGACACGGTCATCTACACATGTGGCCACATGTGCCTCTGCTATGCCTGTGGCCTGCGCCTCAAGAAGGCTCTGCACGCCTGCTGCCCCATCTGCCGCCGCCCCATCAAGGACATCATCAAGACGTACCGGAGCTCCTAGCCCGGCGTGCCCACCCCTCGCGCCGCCTCCTCGGACTGCAGCCCAGCGCCAGCTGAGGGGCAAGCCACGGGGCCCTTCTCCTCTTCCTCATTTTGGAAACTCTCTTCCCTTCTCCATTAAACTTGGGAAACTGAGGTCCCTGAAAGTTTGGGGAGGAAAGGGGTAGCATACAGGTTTGGGGGGGAACAGGGGGGCAGGAGCAGATCGCCCGGCAGAGGGGAGGGGAGGGGAGGAGTCTGCACTTTGCCTGCCTTTCCCTTCTCTGTGCTCAGCTCTTCCCTTCATGCTGAGGGACTAAATTGGGGGCTCCGCCTGTTCTAACCCCTCCCCATCTGGGACCGACTTCTAGCCCGTGTGGCACCTTTGTGAGAATTAGAAAGTGCGTCCCTTCCTCTGGGCAGATGTGGCCGTGGGCCAGGGCGTGTGGCTTGGCTAGTGGAGTGTGGACTGGACGTCAGTTCGCTCCCTCTGCCAGCTGCCCTGGAGCGGTGCACGGCCAGCTAGACAGCAAACCCTGGGCAGGTGGCCCCCGAGCTGCTGCCTTACTCTGACCTGCTCTCACCTTCTCCCTCTCCTCCCACCCCCTGGGCCCGGCAGCCAGGGGAAGGAAGGCCAGCGGGTGCCTCTCCCAGACTGGCCGCAGGAGGCCCCAGGTTCCAAGTGTCTGGCCCCGTGCCCTGGCAGAGATGCAGCGGGCCGTTTCCTGGCCGTAGCCTTTCTGCCCCAATCATCTCGCCCCTTGGTTGGCTGGAGAGCAGGGTCTGTCTTCTGTCAGGGTCTCTAAGAGCAGGTCTGCATCTCCTCTCTGTGACCTGTCCTCCCTCAGTGCTGTCCTGGGCCTGGCTGATGCTCAGAGATGTGGAGTGTCCCCAGGCAAGGCCAGGGCCCTGGGTTGGGGGGCAGGGAGGTTTCCTGGAGTGAGACCAGCTTTTTTCTTTATTGTAATTTATTTATTTATTTGGTTTGTGGGGTAATTTTTTTTGGGGGGGGGTGAGTTTCCACCCTTCAGGCCCCTAGAAATGCTGCCCTGGTGTGTGTGGATTGAGAGGGGCAGCATTTCCCAGACTCCAGCTAAAAGTCCACAGTGAGCTCTGCTTACCATGAGTTGGAACTCCTTAAAAAGGGGCTGAATTGGGAGGCCTCCTGGTGAACTGTGCCCATTTTAGAGGCAAATTGAGCCTCCTTCATTCTCTGGACTGGTGGGTCACTCGGAGCCACAAAGTGCCCTTCCTCCTTGGGCTGGAGCAGGGTTACAGTCAGCTCAAATACGGCAGGGGGCCCAAGAGTGCCCCCTCCACAGGACATAGAAAGTTCTGGGAAGGCTGAAGGAGGGGAGCCCAGCTTGTGCCAGGGAACAGGGTTGGGGAGCCTAGTGAGAGGCAGGGAGCCTGTTCTTAGGGGAGGCACTCCATCCCCAGGAAAGATGAGGGGTAGGGACAGGGTCCCAGCACCTCTGGGTTCTCATTCCTGGTTCTGGGGTGAGGGAGTGCCCCCCACGTGCTCTTAGGCTACAGTCATCTCTGCCCTGCTCGCCTTGTCCCCATAGGCCATGGGCTGGGGCCAGCTCTCCAGTCTCCCCCAGCCTCCCAGCCCTCTGCCCCCTTCAGATGGCTTTTTACATCCCCGTGGCCAGGTCCAAGCCCCTCTGCACCTCAGATGCCACCTCTGTAAAATGATTGGGGCGGGGGAAGACTTTGTGTAACTCTTAGTTCTTTGGTGAGGGGCTGTGGGGGGTGGGGTGGGGTCTGTCCCAGCCTTGCAGTGGGTCTTTGAGAAGTCATAGTTCTGCTATGGGTCTCCCCAGTCTTTGACCCCTGGTGACCCCTTCTGTGGGGGTGGGGGCCCTATCCAGTCAAAGGATCCATTTCAGAGGTAAGTACAGGGGTTGCCTGGCCTGAGGGTTGGGGAGAGGAAGCCACCCACCCATCCATCCATCCATCCATCCATCCATCCATCCATCCATCGTCTGTTAGTGTGGGGTAGTTACTGCCTCCTTTGTGAACTTGGGTCGCTGTGATTGTGAATAAAGGTGATTTGTACCAGCCTCAGGGCTGTGTTGTGCAATGTGGAGGGCTGGGGAGGGAGGGCCAATGTGTGTGTGTGGGGGGGTGAGGGGGGGCGGGGTGCATGCAGTGTGGGGGCCAGAATGCCAGGTGAGCCTTGTAAGTTGAAAGGGAGAAGCCATGCCCTTTGGTAGCCTCAGGTCTCTGGGCTGTTGAGCAGCAGTGTTTGTTGGGGCGGCAGCGGGAGTCCCTGAGGCCTGCTCAGCGTTCTCTTGGCTGAGCTGAACCCATACCTGGCCTGCACCCCTTGTGTGGTGGTGGCGCCACCTAGGGGCTAATGGAAGGATGACAGGTCCTCAGGTCAGCAGAGAGTGCTGCGTTCCTCAGGAACAGGGCCTCCCATCCCTCGCCCCTGCGCCCCAGCCGAGCTCCGGTGGGTGGGTGCTGAGGCCTACACCAAATGGGCGGCACAGCTGGGCAGGAAAGACAGGCCTCTGGCCTGAGACCTTCAGAGAAACTTTCTAGATGAGCACGTCTGGCTGTCTGCAGAGGCTGGGGGTGGCAGATGGGATCTAGACACAGCGAGGACCCTCTGCCCAGCCTCTGCCTGGCCTTGAACAGCCATGGGCTGCTTCCTACATCAGGATGGCCCAGCCCTGTTTATTAGAGTTCAGCAAAAGTTGGGAGGGTTGGAGGCTTCTCCTCCCCAACCCCGTCTGTCCCCAGAGGACATGGATCCTGTAGTTCATTCTGCATGGGGGATGCTTTGCCATTCAGCTGGACGGGTTTTCTGGCATTAAGGAGAATGAAGAGGTGATTCTGTTGAGTTAAAAAGGTCAAAAACTTTATTTAATTTTCAGGGAAATACAAGAAGATGCATGTAAACATAAACAAAATACAAAACAAAACAACCCAAATCTTACAGTCTAGAAGCATGCCAAGTCATAGTATTTCTGCAGACCAAAGAGTCCCGTCCAAATGATAAAGGACACCTGGAAAGGTGCAGGCCAGGAGGCTGGATCCCTTCCCCAAGGACACTGCATTTTTGTGATGAGAACAATAATAATAAAAAAAACCCCACTATTAAAAATAATAGAAACATGGAGATAGTTTAGCACCACCATTGATCCTGGAAATTTTTTAGTGCTCAAATGGACTGCATTCAATTTAATGTCCTTTCCTTCAGTTTCTCTGCTGAGGGCGGAAGAGGAAACAACGTGACCCCCACAGAGCCCACTAGGATCTGGGAGGGAGGGGGGTTAAGCGGACACCACGAGAAATCCCCCAAAGTTCTGGAGCCGAGGCATCCAGCTCCCATGCAACCACGCGGTCCACAAACCCACACTGCAGGGACCTGCCACTCACGTGTGCATCACTCGGTCACCTTCCTGCGAACCTCTCAGTGACTAGCAGCGAAACCCTTTCCCATCCTGTGTCCTGCAGGTAAAGAAAACCTGTTGCAGAGAACAAGATGCAGATTCAAGAATGGTGGCTGTTTGCCCTTCTTCCTCTGAAATAAACACAAGAGCAGTGTGTCTTGGTCATAGGCCACTAAACACGAAAGGGCATATCCATGGATGAGTCTGCACTGTACAACCCCCCCACCCCGTCTTCTAAGTCACACCAGTGGGCAGGCTCAGCCAACTGCATAACCACAGGCATCATCAGAGACACTTGAGAAGAACAAACAAGGTTGCCTTCCTCCCAGATGAGCTTGATGGTATCTGGACCCTGAGGTTCCAATTTGGGGGTGGCGGGTCTCTAACTACATGACCCTTTTGGTCTCTAGTCTTTGATTTAAACAATTTGAGAGGTTAGCTGTGTATTAGACAAAAAGAGGTGGGCAAAACCAGCTGGGAACCTGGGAGGTGGATGAATATTCTGGAGCCAGGGCCTCCAAACTCAAAATACAAGTTGTTGCTGGTGACTTACTCTCTCCACTGAGTAAATCAGTGACCGTTCATTAAGAACTTGCTGGGGACCCAGCTTGTGGCACAGCAAGTAGCGTTTCCTCTGGCCGGCTTCTCCTCCTCCAGCCTTATTTCCAACCTGATCTGGCTGGACCCTTGTGTGTTGAATCACTAAATTCCCTCCTTACCTGCTCTCTTCTTCCTGAAACACTTAGAATCAACTTCTTCCTTCTTTTTAATAAAGACAAGACTCCAAACCCTCTCTCAGCCTTCTCACACTTTTCCCTTTCTGCCTAGACACCCTCTTCTGGAAGCCACCTTCCCAGAGAAGGGACGGTCAGTCCCAGACACCCAAACAGGCCACACGTGCACATACTCATCTTGCCGACATGCCTCTTGCTCGTCTCCAACATGCTCGATCCATCCTTTTGCTTTAAAACAATTCTTTCCTCTCTCTCTCGCCTCCTGAAGTCCAGCCCCATTAGCCAGGATGAAACTTGGGGGGTGCAAAGAAGGGACCTTTAGCGCAGGGACCCACTCTCTAAGGCCACTAAGTTCTAGGACTGGGGTGGGTGATTGTCAAGGTCAAGTGCAAACTCAAGATTAGAAAGGCAGGAATGGGTCAGGAAGATGCATGGCAATCTCAACCTCATAGGCAGGTTGGGACCAGGCCTGCCCAGTCTGTAAGCACCAAGGTGCCCAACTTCTGGTCTGAGAGCCCAGGTGCACAGGACAAAACAGGAGGGAAGCTCACATCAGTGGGGCTGCTTTTCCTGAAATAAGGCAATAGGTCACTGACCCCATCCTTCTCTGGTCACGGAGCATGAGAACCACAGAGGCTGCCCCAAACAGGGATCATGATTTTGGCAGAAATCTCAGTAAGGTCAAGGGGGAACCCTTCACACTCGTCCCATCAAGTGACAGGGCCCGAGGTCTAGGCAGGTGCTGATGGACATGCACGTGCAGGTCTGCTGAGCTCACCGTGAGCAAGTTCTCGCCCTGACCATCCTCAGAAACAAGAGCTGAGGGCCATCATCCCACGGTGATGACATGCATGGCAATGGCTGGGAGTTGGCCTGCCGCGTAGCGCACTCAGCGGCATCCCTTTTCCACAACTTTATTTGGGAGCCTGGGACGATGGCCTAGGCTGCTTCTGCTAGATCTGTTAATGCCAGTGTGAAGTTTCCAACTAAATACTTAATAAAATAATTACAAAAAAATAAAAAGACACATTGCACTCTCCAGCCAGAATTACGTGTGTGAATAACACACACACTTGCCAGAAGCTGCGAGTCCCGTGGGGCCTGCCCAATGCCAAGGACTGTACAATGGAGACAGCGTGCCCGCTAGTTTTCTCTAACCCCATTCTACTTCGTAACAGTGGGAAGTTACACACATGCACGCACACACGCACGCACGCACACACTTTCTCAACACACAGCCCTCAAAAAAGTGAGGGAATCTTAATTCTTTAGTTATGTGGATGGTTCTCTTTTCCAGAGAGCTCTGCGTCAAGATTTTCAAAGGTTGGACATAGATGTAGATGCTCAAGGGGAGAGACCCACACAGGGGGGCACAGTCCCTCTTGGCACATAGATCCATATTTGTACAGAAATGCACCAAACAGGGGTTGGAGCAGCAAGCATACAGTACTGGAGGTGGAGGGGACACGCCAGCAAGGCCGTCCCTGGAGCCGAGGAGCCGAGCTCCAAGGGCTTGAACCCAGAGACTTCCCACCCTGCTGCTTCCTCTGCCTGTGCCCACTTAGGAGGCCGCCGCTTTGGTACCTGTTGTGGGCAGTTCTGTCCGCAGAGACCTGGGTAGGCCCCTCAGCTGCTTCTCCGAGACCCTCTGGGCACTGACCGTTGGGGTGTTGAGCAGAGGCAGGGCTCACTCCTCAGCTGAAGTCACTGAGATGAATGGGTGGCCCAGGTTAGCACCAGGCCCAGCTGCAGGCTTGTGGAAATTGGTGTCTCACTGGGATATGGCAGGGCTGAAGGCACCCACCTCCCCCAAAAAAGGATTTGGTTACATGTAGGGTTCCTGCCCATAAACTGAACTGAGGTTACATAGTTTTAGAAAGACTCACACATACATCAAAAGGATCATGGCCCAAACATCAGGAGACTGGGGTGAGCGAGGGCTGCTGAGTGACTTTTAGGACAGGTCTTTCTGAGCAGCTGGCTGGAAACAACGGAAATGAAAACAAGGAACAGTTCCTGGATGTCCTTGCTCTGCTCTGAGGGCGGGGGCCGCGGGAGGTCAAGAGCCCCATGCTACTTCCCTGAATCCCTTTCTTCTGGGTGGATGACACCCAACAGGAAAAGGGGCTGCCCTCTGGCGGGGACCCCTGACACCCTGCCAGGAGGGGGGCAGGCAAGGAGGGGAGAAGATCAATAACCTGGACCACCTGTCTGCTCCACAGCTCCCACGTCTCCCAGCCAGCCCCGCCTCCCTCTGTCGACAGACTGGGCCACCGGGTCTCCCGCCACCATCCCAACAAGCCCTGGCATCCCTCTTGATAATATTGCACGTATCCTGTCTCTCAGGTTGTTTTCATTTTCGAATGAGAATGCAAAGTATTTGAAGGGAATAGGGGAAGTGAGTAACCTTAAAGAAATAATATATTAGTTAAATACAAAAACAAAAAAAGTAGGGGTTACCTTATCTTTTTTCCCTTAAAAAAAAAATAAACTACCAAACCAAGGTCTAAACTTAAATAGTTCTACATCTACTCTGCAAATACTAGTAATATGAAAATAATGCTTGGCCGAAATTCCCTTGTCTTTTTTTCCTTAGATGATAAGAGTAGTAACATGCCTTGCTGAGGAAAGCGATGGATAAATGCCAGTAAAATATGCTGCTCTAACATCTGAAAGTGATTAAAATGATTCTATATAATGCCTTCGTCAAGATGGAGAAGAGAGGGGGAACAAAGAGAAGCTGTTGGGGCCAGGCTCGGGGTGGATGGGGCCGAGGGCTGGCAAGGCAGGGCCCGGCCACAGGTAGGAGCAGATGGCATACTTGCTGTTCAGGGTCACCCCTTCCTGCTCCCTCTTGCTGCCCCTGTGGTCCCTTGGCCTAGTGGAAACGGCATGGCAGGGCCAGGAAGCCCAGCCAGGCCCGCTGTTATAAAGTGGGAGAGAGATGAAGACATTTTTTCCCCCTTGTAATAAAAGAAAAAGTCTTTCCACAAAGAAAAAGCACCAATGATGCATCTTCAGGCATTATATAAACCTCAATAATGACCTCAGAAGGGCTCATTATGATTAAAGTTGCAGTATACAGCCACACAATGTCATTTCACATTTTCAATCGTAACTAATGGAAAACTAGGTTTGGACACTGCTGAGATTTCATTTTTCTTTTTCCTTTTTTTTAGGCCGATCTGGTTTTCCTCCAGATGGGTCAGAGCCCCAGGCCCCTCCCTCCTCCACCTGCTGCCAGCAGTACCCTCCAACATCACAAAGCAGCTCAGTAGCTCTAGGGAAAGGCCCTCTTGCCCTGGGTAGGGCTAGGGGTCCAGGGGCACAAGGCCTGGCATCGCCTAGCCATGTCTGAGAGGGACTGGCATGCACCCTTTTTTGCTTCAAGTATTAATATTCTCTTTCGGTTTGCAGGGTTTGTGCTGTGCTGTGAATTAAGGGGGTGGTGGTGAGGGGCAAGGGGCAAAGATGGGACATGGCAATCCCTGTTCACTGCCCAAATCTCCATGCTGTCACCAGGTGGCAGCATTCCCCACTTTCCCTGGATGCCTGAGCAACTCCCAGCCATCCTCGGGGCTGGATGTCCCAATGTAAACATGATGACCACGCAATAAGCTCGAAGGGGGATGGGTAGGAGTGCCAGGAGGGATGCCGTGGGGAGGTCTGCCAGTAAACTTGGCCGTGTGATTTTGGGAGTCATTTCCTGTCCTTGGGCTGCAATAACAGGAGGGGAGGGGATGGAGTGACCTTTGAGGTCACTTTTAATGACCATCACTTAGAGCACTGGGGATCAAGGATAGAGGGGGACCCTTGAGGGGCAGGGGAATGTGGGCCCTGGTGGTGGTAGAGAGCCCCACAGGGCAGTAAAGACCGTGAGGAAGGGCAGGGGAAGACAGGCTCTGGGGAGCACTGTGGTCCAGTCCAACTGAGATGCTCTGTGCTTGGCAGATGCGTCCTGCACTCCTTCCTGGCCTGGCTGTCGCGTTGTGATTGAACTGGCTCAGTGCAGACATCTGAGGAGTGAGGCCGCTGGGGCCCTCCCCCTGGAAGATAGCTACGTGGAAGGTCCTTTAACCCGACAGTCACTCTACTTTTAAATTTTATTTTAAATAATCATAAATTACTTTTTTTCTTTCAATAAATATGTGCTGCTTAAAAATGAGAAAAGTATATACTGCATCTTTAAGTAATGCACTTTGCTCTCTGGGTTTCTTTCCATTCCACCTTATTAAAGTGCATTAATTAAAAAATAATGAACCACTTCTTTATCATTATTGTTCAAATAAGTCCAAATAATATTAATATGAAGACACTAAACCACTACCATTAGTACTGCAATCTAGCAGATTAACTCAACATCCTGCTCTATTTAATACTGTCCAGCAGAAGAAAATAACTAATTTCCATTTTAAACAAACTCACAAACAAAACAAAAGGAAACAAAATCTCACCACGGCCCTTTAACAGAGAACAGGAGCAGTTTGCTATAGCTGCCAGGCTTCAGTGTACAGGAGGGAGGACGGTCAGGAGGGGGCGCATGGGGTACGGAAGGCACAAGACCTGGGTCCCATGCTCACCTTCAGGCAACATCTCCGTCCTGGGTGGGAAGCAGGTGGAGAGAGAGAACACCAACCCTTGTCCAGGATTCTGGCAGCTGAATCGGCGGCTGTGAAGCCTGACCTGTCCGAAGTCAAAGGCACGTGTGGAAATCCACTCCCAGCAAAGGGTGAGTCCTCGGGAAGCCGCTGGCTTCTGGAGGGCCCCCTCTGAAATGTCAATGATCGAAAGACCCGAAGTCGACAGGGACTTTATTCTCTCGCTTCTCTTTTCACGGGGGCACTGCCCCTCGGAATGACCAGGTCAGCTCCTGGTCTGGGGTCCTCCACCTCCTTGGTCCCTGTGGCATCGCCGGCAGGCTGGTGGTGTTTGCTCCAGTCTGGCCTGGGGGCCCAGTTGGGGGTCCCCTCAGGCTTTCGGTCCTGCCCAGGAGGGAGACTGTACACAGAATGGCGGTCACCCAGCAGCCCGAGAGCCGCCTTCGCTCCTGAACGAGACCCTCCTCCCTCCTGGGCTGGGCTCGCACCAGAAGGTGGGTGCCTCGCGGTCTGGGAGTGGGGGGCTTCTCCGCCCCCAACCCCTCAGGCACTGTCCACACAGTGGAAACCAAACGAAACGACTCCAGCTTGTGGAGGGGAACATGTGAAACACAAACAACAACCAACCTCCCACAAGAGTCTAACAGAAAAGCCCACCCACCCCCCTCCCGTCCCCTGTGAGGCTGACCGTCCTGAGGCCCCCAAACAACCCCTAAAATAAGACCAAAACCCAGGGCCCAACCAAGAAGCCCCAAATCAATAAACCTCTCCCGCAACATGCAAAGAAACTGCCCACCCAGAAATATCCAAAATAAAGTCTGTGCAGACTGAGACCCCCGGCTCTGCCCATCCTCCGTAAATCGGGCTGGTGGGTCTCCACGGGCGCCCGGGCAAGGCGGTCCTTGCTGGCACCTGGGGAACTGCTTTTTCTGCAACTAACAGACACGGACAGTGGCCTGGCCAGGGACAGGCTGAGCTCACAGGAGAGGCCTCCAAGCCCCAAAGCCAGAGGTGTCTTCTACCACACCACCCGTGCCGGGCGGCGGCAGTCCCCGGGAGACCAGCACAATTCGCCGTTACGGTGAGGATGATACCCGGGCCCACCCCTGGCAACAAGCTGCCAGCAACTGGAACCGGGCTAGGCTGGGGCAGGGCATGGAGGCCTCTAGGACCACATCCTTTCCAGATTTGCAGCCAAGGCACGACTGGGACTTCCCACTGGCCTGTCCCAGATGGTGCTGAGCCCATCAGTGAAGTCACCAAGGGGCACACATGGGGCTCAGCTGTCTCACCTTTGGTCTCAGGCCTCCTGCTCAAGGTGGCCCCCCACCAGACCCTCCCTTCCAGCCAGGGACAGTCTGGAGGGGAGTGTCCTTGAGGTCACACCTTCTGCAGGGTTTAATGTTGTCCTCCCCCCACCCCCCACCCCTCCCCTCTCCCTATTGTCTTCATCTCACCACTCATCCACACCCAGGCTGGAAGGACCCGTGCCCTGTTAGTTCTTTTTCTCCAGGTAGTTGGAGGGCACCCAGCCTTTGAAGGGCTTCACCCCGTCCAGGATCTGGCAGTACCACCAGCCATTGGGGTTCCTCTCCAGGACCTCCATGGACACACCCTCCTGGAAGCCCGCCGTCTCCTCGTCCCCCTCGTAGTCCGCGATGGACACATACACATCTTTGAGGTTGTTGTGGATGAACTGGGACTTCTCGATAGGCTTGGGGCGCACGGGGGACACGGGGATACCGTTGCGCTGCGTGGGCAGCAGAGGGCTGTCTGAGCCCTGGCTGGCGGCCCGCTCGGCCAGGCGGCCCTTGGCCTCTGCAGCCGCCGAGCGGGCGGTGCTGAAGGAGGAGTTACGGCGGACGCCTCGGAGGCTGTCGGTGGCTGTGAGCGACTCGTTCCTCCGGAGGGCGCAGGACAGGTTGTTGTCCTTGGGTGGTGGGGACACGAACACTGACTGGGGCCTCACCGCCACCTGCCGAACCCCATTCCTCATCTTCACCACCCCAGCACCCGCGGTCTTGCTGAAGCCCCCGGGAGGCTTGGAGGGGATGGGCGGCGTGGCCCTCTTGCTCTGGTTGACGGTATTCAGCGCTTGGACCCGCTTCTCGATCTTCTCCAGGCTGTCCGACTTGCCCTCCTTCTGCTTGCTCTTGGCGGTCACGGCGTCCGGCTCTTTGCCAGAGGGGTCAGGTGGCTCATTCTCACCCAGCACCAAGTAGTGGGAAGGGGCCCAGCCCTCCAACTCCCCAAACCTCACATACCACCAGCCGCTTTCCAACTTCTCGAGCACCTGCACCTCCACGCCAGCGGGGAAACTGATCTCCGAGTCCTGGACCTTCTGGTAGGCACTACACGTCATGTAGGAGGTGGCCTGCCCTTCCCGCCCCTTCTTGGTGGGACAGGGGGGTGTGGCAGCTGGGAGGGTGATGAGGTCGGCTGAGCCTCTCCTGGACCCCTCGTTGGGACCCTCGGAGGCTGTCTGGGGGGGCAGCTCGGAGTCCTCACTCTTGGAGCCCTTGAGGCCTCCCCGGAGCTGGCCTGTGGGTCTCAGCTGGCGCCGTAAAGTGCTGATGTCCATCTTCTCTTGACTCTGGGACTCCGCTCTGTTCAGGAATGGCTTGGGCCGGACAGATGGCTTGGCCCGAGCACAGGAGGTCAGCCCGGCCTTCAGGTCAGCGTCCTTCTTCGCTCCGACCTTGGGGGTGCCGCGGATGCCTGCGTCCGAGGCAGAACGGGGCTTCAGGTCGCTGCTGGGCTTGGACAGGGAGGAAGAGGAGGAGGAGGAGGAGGAGGAGCAGGTGGTGTTGATGGTGATGGACGAGGAGAAGGAGGCCGAGGAGTGGTTCTTCCCCAGTTCCGCCTGGGCGTTTTTCTCTGCCTTGAGCTTTAGGAGCGAGGACGATTTGGGGGAGTCTGATTTGGGGGAGTTTTTCCTGGCAAGGGACAGTGGGGAGCCTCCTGGGGAGTCACTGTCCCGGGAGGACCGTCTGGCTGACAGGGTGTCCTCTGCACAGGGCCGGAAGCCCTCGTTCTCATAGATGGTCTCCTCTTCCAGGGCCACGTCCTCGGAGGACCCGCCCACCTTGAAGCGGGCCCGCTGCAGGGAGGAGGCCGGCGAGGGCCTGTGGGGCTGGGCCAGCCGCTTGTCCCCCGAGCCTCTGTCCTCCGTGGGCTCCTCACTCAGCTCTGGCTCCGAGTCGAAGCCAAAGGCAGGGATGTCATACTCAGGCTCTTCGTACTTGAGCTTCAGCGGGGAGTCCTGGGTCTCGGCGGTGCCTGCCGGACCCTCCTCAGCCTCCTTGGGCTTGCTGGGGGGCGCCGGTGGGGGGACCTTGGGCCGGGTCAGGGTGCTCGTGCGGCGGCTCAGGTTGGGCTTCTTGCGCTTATCGATGTAGGACGCGGGGGCCCAGCCCTCCTTCTCACCGATCTGCACGTACCACCAGCCGCCCGAGTTTTTGTCGATGACCTAGGGCAGTGGTTGGCAAAGTCATTAGTCAACAGAGCCCAATATCAATAGTACAACGACTGAAATTTCTTTTGAGAGCCAAATTTTTTAAACTTAACTATATAGGTAGGTACATTGTTATGAACTTAATTAGGGTACTCCTAAGGCTTAGGAAGAGCCACACTCAAGGGGCCAAAGAGCCGCATGTGGCTCGAGAGCCGCAGTTTGCCGACCACGGACCTAGGGGGAAGGGGCAGGCAGGCCAGTGAGTTGGGAGGGTCACTGGGACCCTGTGATGAGCTAGCTAGGAGCTTCATTCATACTGTGGCTCTAGGAGACATTATCTCCATTTGCAGGTGAGCCACCTGAGCCACCGAGTAAGTGGCCCAGGGCCCAATGTAGTGAGTGATGGGTCGGAATTCAAACCCAGATCTCTATCATCTCCTAGCTGGGGGGATCCTGCTGTTCAGGTCCCTCTCCCCTGGCCCTCCAAGCCTCTCAATACGCTGGTCGGGCTGGCCCCCTCTCAGACCCCTGTTCCTTCTTCTCCTAAGTTACTGCACTTAGAAGAGGCACTGTACCCAGTCCCAACAAAACCAAATCGCCAAGGACCCATATGTATAAAAAGAACTACCATTCCACCACTCCCATCCTCCTCCCACCTCCCATATTGCTAGGTCTCCCCTGGGTGACCCTAGAAAGGGCTCCTCAGGTCGGAAGAGAATGGGAAGATGCAGGTGAGTTGAACTGGGAGATATGGCCTGAGGCCAGAGCCTCCCTACAGAGCACAGCCCAGCTGTCCCACTGCCTGTGGTCATTTCACTGCACTGGGCGGAGACACGAGTCTGGGGTTCTAGTCCTGACTGTGGCACTTACTAGCTTGATGGACGCAGCAGGTCTCTGGCCAGCCTGAGTGAAAACCCTCAGCCTCAGGGCCCAAGGCTCACCTCTGCCTTCTGTCCACCCCGAAAGCTGATCCCGTCAGAAATGCAGGACTGGAATTCGGCACTGCCTTCTGTCCACCCCGAAAGCTGATCCCGTCAGAAATGCAGGACTGGAATTCGGCAATGGTGTAGTACTCCACCTCAACAGAAGGGGGCTCTGGTGGCTTCGGCAGCTGGAACCCCTGAGGTAGAGAAGGATTCAGTGAGCAAAACCCACCTGATCAGACCGCAGTGGCAGTGAGCGTGGCATTCACAGGAGTGGACAGCAGCTGACCTGAGTATCTGTCATTCTCTTCACTAGGATTTCTAAGAACACCTAGGGCTCACTCTGGACTTGTCTGAGCCTTCAGAACGATCCTTTCCGAACAGTGATGTCCACCCTCCCATCTCTGGAGGTCCAGTTATCTGAAGCCTCAACAGCTAGTTCCCAAAACGAAAATTAAAAAAATGGCCCTGACTGGTTTGGCTCAGTGGCTAGAGCGTTGGCCTGTGGACTCAAGGGGTCCCAGGTTTGATTCCGGTCATGGGCATCAAAAGAAAAAAAAAAAAGAAAGAAAATTTAAAAAATGGAGAAATCATTGTAACAAAGTCTGCGGACACTGCCCTGTTGGAGAGGACAACCTCTGTTCTTAAGTCTAAAAGAGGAGCCGCAGGGGTGACAGCCGGCTGTAGGGGCAGAGCTGGGACACAGCCATCTCCACGCGTGGGGTGCGAGTGTGAGGGGGCGTGGGACTGGGCGAGAAGACCTTGGTTGGTCATCACGATGCTGCCACACGTCAGGCAGGCACTGATTACACTCCGGACCCTCCACCGGTGGGCCGAGGAACACACTGGAGAGCCTGAATGTCTTCAGACGCTGGCACATCAATATCTAACCACAACATTCAAGGAAGGACATTTAGAATCTGGCCACAGACAGTGACTTGTGAACCTCATTCATCTATTTTACAAATGTTTCCTGTGGGTCTACTGGGTGTCAGACTCGGGTCTAAGGCACTGGGCATCCAGTAGTGAACCAAAAGGATGACACCCCCATTGGCCCTCACAGAGCAGATGTTCTAGTTGCACCTGTTCTCTATCCTGGCCAAAAGGTACTTCGTGCCTCTCCATTACTCCTTGTATGTCTTTGTATCACACAAAGGGGTTAAAACAAAACATGTTTTGAATAGGATGTGTGTGTGTGGGAGACTAGGGAGGGGGAAGTAGCTGTGTTGTAACAAGAAGACCTCGAAAAACCTCTCGGCCTTGCAGCTGGGCACATGTGGACTCCAACCCCAGCTCAGCAATTTACCAGCCGCACGGCCTTAGCCTTGACCTTGCTGAGCCTCAGTTTCCTGACCTATACAATGGAACTAAAACAGGCTCATGAAGAGGATTGCTGAGAGCCTGGCTGGCGTGGCTCAGTGGTTGAGCATTAACCTATAACCGAGAGGTCACAGTTCGATTCCCGGCCAGAGCATATGCCCGGGTTTCAGGCTCATCCCCAGTGTGGGGCCTGCAGGAGGCAGCCGATCAATGATTCTCTCTCACTGATGTTTCTAGCTCTCTCTCCCTCTCCCTTCCCCTCTCAAATCTATCTATCTATCTATCTATCTATCTATATATATATATATATATATATTTTTTTTTTTTTTAAAGAGGATTACAGAGATAAGATACTAACTTCTGGTCCAGCCAGGGGCACAGGAAGAGCTCCATAAGTAAAAGCCAAAGCTCAACACTCCTCCTGAAACAACACCCTATCCTCTGCCTTCATCACCCTTCAAGGCCCAGCAAGTCCTGACCCAGCCAGTTACAGCTCAGCTGCCTGCGGTCAGAGCGAGCGAAGGTGGGAGGACTGGGTATGATTCAGTCCACTTTCCCTACCCTGATGCCTGGCCCTGCAGCCGTGCATGTGAGCTGATGTGGCCCAGGCCCCAGCACAGCCCAGACCCGTGGCCAAGTGGGATTCGGCCGGGCCTCGCTGGAAACAGCAGCCCTGCCTCAGCAAGCCCTGCGTTTGGTAAGTGTGGAAGGAATTACCCCATTCTTGCCAAAATCAAGTCTGCCCAAACATAATTAGCTGGGCCTGAGAGAAACGGCAGGAAAGAACTCGCTGTTTAGTTGTGTAAAACACAGGGAAAGGGGAGACAGAAACTCCGCTGGGGCTGGTGGCCAGGGCAAGGCGGTCGCATTTCCAGGGGCCAAATCTTCAATAATCCCGTTTACTGAAGGCCCGCTTCCCCAGGAACTGCCGCTATCCCCCAACCCTGGGCAGTCGGCACTGACCACAGTAACCCTCGCTGTTAGCCCAGATGTGACTTCAGAAATCTGTTTCCACACAGAGTCACAGGTAGTCCCCCCAACAGTCCCACCTGACACAGGAAATGGAAACCTGACCATCAGCCCTCATTTCACCCTTACGACAGCCCTGGGAGATGGCTGGTACTTACAGATGAGACAACTGAGGCTTGTGCGGGGAAGCAACTTGCCCCGGGGGTGGCTGTTCCTAAGTGTCAGGGTGGAATATGAATCCATGCTTGGCAGACTTGAGCCCCATTCTTTCCACACATCTCACTGCCGCTGATAACAGTTCTCTGCTCTAGGGCTCTCGGTCTGCCACCAGCATCACCGCTGGCCCCAGCCCAGCACTCTGAGTGCACAGCTGTGTCCCTGATGGTCTGGGTACCAGGAAGTCCCACCCACAGGTGCCAGGCACCCCAGCAGCACTGAGCATCTTTAAGCTTTAGCATAAAAGCCAGCCCTGGCCATCGACCCCTCCTCCTGGAGGATGCTCACTGGTCTGCCCTCCGCCCTCCTGGCTCTGGCATCCACCACCTCCATCGGGCATTCCTAAGCAAGGAAGGCAAGGCTGAAAGGTGTCCAGGCTCACATGGACAGCAGCTGCATTTCAAGCCCCTGGCAATGCCCTGGCTGGACACTCGCCGGCCAGTCTAAATGTTTATGTCTGCCAGTGCAGTGGCCGGGATGGATTTATTTAGCTTTGGAGTGCAGAGCGTTTTTGATTATAAACTGTCTAGCTAGGTCCCCAAAAAGGTTGGAATCTGCAGGCTTCCCTCTCTGCCCCCAGCCCCACAAAGCTGAAGGCCCAGCGGGGCCCTGGGAAACCTCTGGACCAGCAGGCTTTGCAGTGTGACAGCCAATTGACTGGGGCTGCTGCAGGGCATCCCCAGGAAGGGAACAGACAGACGAGATGTGGCACATACCAGGCTGGATTCTCTGCGAGGTGGAGGCCTTGTCCTTAGGTTGGGGGAGCCTGGAAGAAGACACATGGCTTAAAGAATGCCAGCCAGACGCTGGGCAACACGGCCTGTACCTGCTTCCCTGGGCATAACCACCCTCTGGTTCTGGGAAGTTCCTGCATGGACCCATGCTCTCACTTCCCTGGCTGTGCTGCCGGGGGGGTCCACGGACCCTCTGAGGTGATGTGCACATTGTGAAATGTGCAGACACTGAGGAGGCGTTTTTGAGGAGAAAGGGTATATAGCTTTATCCAAGTGCACAGAGTATCAAAGTTGGGAGCCGAACCCGTGTCTCTCGGGCGCTCACTACTGAATCCCTAGAAGCTGGCTCAATTCCAGGCTAGAGGCGATGCCCTCAGATTTCCCAACTGCTTGCCTAAAAGACTGCAGGCACAGAGCTGACTTAACCATGTTTAGAATCAAAACAGCTTTCCTCCAGATTTAAGGCCGGCTGGACACACACAGAAGCTTGTCTCTCATAATAGAGAACAGTTTAACCCCCAAACGAAGGCTCTGTGAGCCAGGGACGCGCGAGATTCAGAGGGTGCCTGAGAGCCGGTTCCTCCCGTGCGAAGGAAGGAGATCCCTGAAGAATGCCCCTTAAAAATATGCTCGTGCAGAGAGGTAAAGCCAGCCTGTCCATGTCTTTTTGGTTTCTACCAACTGGGGGAAGGCAATTGGGAAGGAGGGGGAAGGCCCAGAAAGATGTTCCTCTACCAGCAAAGCAGCCTTGCACCTTCGGCTCATTCCACAGCCCGGGGGCTACACTTCTCTACAAAGTGAGCACTCCGGGCCCTCCACTAGGGACGGGAATGCCAGCACCTTTTACACTCATGTAATTTGTCTTCAGTGGAGCAGTGGGGAGGAATTGCCTTGTCCACTCTTGTAATTAGCATGAGACAAGTGGGCAGAGTGAGGCTGGGGTCAGGGGTGAGGGGTCATCAATATATCAAGAAGAAAAGGACATGGGGTCCTGCACACCCCTCTAGCTTTCCTTGCACCCCATGCCCACTCTATAAATTGCTTTGCAGCAAGGACCCGGGGCTCGGCAAGGCTCTTACTGATCTGGGCCCGCTGAGGGGCAATCCTGGCCACAGCTGGGGAGCCCTGGGCCAGCTTGGAGACGGTCCTCTCGGGGATCCCCAGGGCGCTGCCGTTGGAGGCGTTGCAGAGGATGGGCAGGCTGATCTCCTTCTTGGCAATGGGGGCCTCTGGGCCCTCGCCTTCGGCTGGGGGCGTCTCTTTGTCCCCTGATGTCTTCTTGTTCAACAGGTTGCTGATCTCCATGATGTTCCCAATGATCTCCACTGGGCCCGCCAGATTCTTCTTCCGAGCTGGCAGGTCATCCTTGGCTTTCTTCAGGTAGGAGGCTGGTGCCCAGCCTTCTTTGCCCAGGTACCTATGGGGGAGGAGTGGGACACGGGGCATTAGAGCACTGAGGCCTGACCTCACACCCCTCCCAGGCCCAGGCTCCATCGGGTCTTGCCCAGCAGAGCCTTTTTTACGGTGTTCAGCAGACACTTGGCATTCCCACTCCTCCAGAGAGAACCGGAACCGGGCAGGTGGAAAAGACACCTTAAACACCACTTCTTCCCATCCCCTTGCTCTCTGTGATCCCTCTTGGTGTGAGTGCTCACACTCTGCAAAGTCAGGCAAATGTGGGACCTTCAGGTTAAAAGATTCCTCAAATTGTGGGTTGCCCAAAAGGTAGATTTCATAACAGCCTGCTACCTTGCAATAAGTAGAGGGCAATTGTAGAGATAAGAAATGAGAAGGTGTCTTGAGTTAAATGTCCTATTGGAAAGGGAAGTATTATTATCAGAGAGGCGAAGAGGAAGCCCAGGTGAGTTAGAAAACCCGAGTTCTGGTCTACGGCATCTTGGACAAAGTTCCTACCCAGGAGCTCAATTTCTTTCTCTTGGGCCAAAATGCAGGGATAGCACTAGTTGGTTTGGCTCAGTGGACAGAGCACCGGCCTGTGGATTGAAGGGTCCTGGGTTTGATTCTGGTCAAGGGCACATGCCCAAATTGTGGGCTTGATCCCTAGTAGGGGACATGTAGGAGGCAGCTGATCAATGATTCTCTCTCATCATTGATGTTTCTATCTCTCTCCCTTCCTCTCTGAAATCAATAAAAAATATATTTTTAAAAAAATGCAGGGATAGAGTCACTGCAAAAATTTATCCAAAAGGATGAACACATTGAGACCAACTAGGAAGATATCTCTAAAGAACAGTGACTGAGGGGGGAAGTATTGGTACCACGCAGAATAGCAGACAAATCAAGTTCACAGAACAAGTCTACCAACAGACCAATGCTAAAAGGGACATTTCAAATTAGTGGGGTAAGGATGGCTTAGTCAGTGAGTGACTTGCGGACAACTGATTATCCAGTTAAGAAAAACAAGCGGGACCCTGGCCTCACACTGTATCGCAAAATAAAAATGCAAGTTGCGAATATTTGCTGAATCTGGAGAGGCTGAGGATAAAGCACATGACTGGATAAAAGTAAAACCTCTGGTATGGCAAAACGAAAACAAAACCCAAAATCCCATAAACAAGAGAAAAGGCAAATGACAGGGCTGACTTCATTTTAGGCGATTCAATGACTTCTGAAAACAAGCTTCCCCTCCTTTTGCCCCTCCATGGGGTTGAGCTTCTACCCAAACCCCTGGGAGCTCCTTTCCTCGTCCAGGAGTTGTCCATGCCCCCGAGTCTGGTCTGTGATGTCCCTGTCTGCTTCCTGGGACACATCTGGCTCTTTGGAATGGCTCCTCCGTGCCAGATGTCTGACAAGCCCCTCTCCCCTGCCTCTCCATCTGACCTTGCTCTTGGGCACTCATTAGGTGGGAGAAAAGGGAATGTGCAAGAAGCTTCTATCAGCATGTCTTGAGCTTTGCTGGAAAGCTTGGGTAGGGGTGGCTTTCCCTGTGTATGCCACGGTTACAAGCAGACAGGCTGACCCACGCTCGCCCATCTGGCTCCCTGTTTGGGGCCCGGAAGGCAGACATCAGTGAACAAATGGATGGAAACCATGGCGCTAACAGACAGAAGCACAGAATTTCAGGGGTGGGTAGAAGCAACTACTCAAGATGCCTAATCTTGGCAACAACCAAGGCTCAGAAAAGCAAAGCAAGTAGCAGAGGGTCACACAGCTAGCTGGTGGCAGCGTCTGGCTCAGAAGCGGGAGCTCCCGCATCTCGGAGAAAAGAGGAAGAGGAAGCTGCCGGCTGCTGCAGGTGCTTTGCTATGAGAACACTGGAGAGGTGGGGAGCAGGGTGTCACGGGAGTGACGGTCAGGCCAGCTCACTGCCCCGAGTGCTCCCGTTTCAAATCCTGTGTGTTCCTTCGCTGTTACATGGATAAAATTAGATTCCAGGCGGAGAGAGGCGAGGGAATCAGGAGCGGCTGTGTGTGTGTCTGGGTCCAACTCGGCTCACATCTGCTTTCCAGCTCTGGAGCATGGAATGACTCCAGAGGGAAGCAAACTGGAAAAGGAGATGGAGGGAGAGGGAGGGGGTGTGTGGGGGATGGGGGTGGAGAAGAAAGACAGGAAATGAGGATCAACACAGAGCCTGGAATGTTGGGAAATGGCATATTTAAGGGGGTGTCTGGCAGCCTTCTTAAGGTGGAACCCTTTCAGCAGGGTTTTCTCAGTTGAAGCTCCCACCGGCTAAAGGGATAGACCATGGGGACAAGAGTTGACTAGAAAAAGCAGCACGAAGTGGCTTTATTGGTCATTTTAGAAAACGCAGAAAAACAAACAACAAAAGAAAACAAAAGCCAGCAGCTTTGTAGATAACCTCCCGGCAAGTGGTCCAGGTAACCAGCCTGCCAGACCGATCGCCGGCTTCCTACGCCAGACACATGGTTGTTGGATTTGGGGTTGGCGCTAGCGTCCACTGCTGAGAGCACATGCACGTCTAGGGGCAGGGCTTTGGGCAGCACACGTCCAGGCACACAGTCCTGACCCACCTAACCAGACAGAAAGGGACACCTCAGCCCTCCTGACTGACATGCACAGGGTCAGGGCAGCTGTGTCCTGTCAGGTCACACTGAAGTTCAGTCCCATGAGGCCAGTGACCTTCATCCTACCCATCAGCACCGACCAATCTCAACACCATCAGCGTTGGCCAGTCAGCGTGGTCTGAGCAACCATCTCCGAGGGCCCGCACCACCTTGGCCAATCCTGTCCCCATGGTGGGAGACAGCCTAGAGCAGGGGTCCTCAAACTACGGCCAGCGGTCCACATGCAAATACAAATATTGTATTTGTACCCGTTTTGTTTTTTTACTTCAAAATAAGATATGTGCAGTGTGCATAGGAATTTGTTCATAGTTTTTTTTTAAAACTATAGTCAGGCCCTCTAACGGTCTGAGGGACAGTGAACTGGCCCCCTGTTTAAAAAATTTGAGGCCTAGAGCATGCATCCTGCCCACAGTGGGTCTAGGGTGCCCAGGTGTGGTGGGCCGGCAAGGTGGTCCCCAAGCCCCACAGATGTGGGGCTATCTCTGCCAGCCTGGTTACGGGCAGAGAAGAAAGAAATTGGACAAAATCACCACAGCTGAGCAGGTCCCAAAGGAACCAAAACATTTCCTGAGAGTAAGGCTCCCTGAGGGTGGCGCTGGCCTGGAGTTCCAGGGCAGAGGGGACTGGAGGGGCAGGACTCGGCAGGGGAGCGGTGGGGGGAGCCCACGGGTTCTGTTTGTTTCCAGGAGCATCAGAGAAGCTCCGAACTCCCCTCCGACTCCCCAGTGGGTTTCTCAGCTGAAGAACGTGAGCAGGCCCTGGGAGAGGGAGGAGCAGAAGGAAGAGGCCTCCGAGCCAGGCCTGGGCTCAGCTCTCACAACCACGTGAGCCAGCCCTGCAGAGGGGACAGCCGGGGACAGCCGGAGTGCTGAGCCGTGGGCAGCAGGGGCGGCCTGCTGGGACCTCGGCAAGGCCTGGGGACGCCAGCGCTCCAGGCGGCCTGAGCTGCAGAGCACGCCAGGCAGCAGCCCAAACTGGACGCAGAAAACCAAATTCAGATGTGCCGGACCCTCTTGGCAGTGGCATGGGTCTTGCAGGGGAGCGATTGCACCATCGCCTGCAAGCTGGGCCGGAGCCCCTGTGCCCCGCTGGCGGCCGCTCAGGCTCTGCTTTACGTGTCCCGGGAGAGGATCTACGGAATGAGCAATCTCTGTTTGGGATGTTCAGCTGTGCAGGCTCAGTGCCGCCAAGCCAGGGCCGTGGGTGCAAAGCTGCTGTCGGTATCTACTCGCCATCTGGTGTCCCCGGCCACTCAGCAGTATCTACCTGCTCTGCTGCTCAGGGCATCTCGCTCCTCTGCTGGGGCTCCTACCTGATGTACCACCAGCCCTCCAAGTTCTTCCTGATCACCTCCACGGTGACGCCCTTCTCAAAGCCAATCTCGTCCTTGCTTTGGCTGGTGTAAGGCTGCACAGTGACATACTTCTCCTCTGTGGGTGGCAGGACAAGCAAGAAAGCACAATTACTTGAGATTGGGATGCGCTCCTCCTTCCTGCCTCTTCCTCCCCCCTGGCCTGGCCTTGCTTAGCTGGTTGCCAAGGTGCACTGGGTCAGCATCTGGCTCTTCCAGGGAAGAGAAGGGACCAGGCTTCATCGCTGCTCCCAGTGTGTGCCAAAGCCAGCCAGGGCCTCAGGTGGTCTGGCAAAACCCTGGGCAACACCAAGGCTCTCCCGGCCTCCTAGCCCAGTAGCAGTAGCCAGGCTGCCGGGGCCTGGAGTCCTTCGGCTCCCAGCTCCATGGGCTGAGGGCAGGGTTAGGAGGAACCTGTCCTTCACGGGGCCTGTGTTGAGAAGTCTGAGACCAAGCCTGAGTGTCCCCTGAATGCCTGGAGGCCCCACGGCACACCTCCTCTTGCCCTGAATGTGTGACACTTCTGGGTCTCGGACTTGCTCTCCTAGCCCTTCTCCACCTCAACCCCTTATCCTTCCTGTCTGGTCTTCTGAATGCTCTGGAGCCCCGTCCTCAGGGAAGCCTTACCTGACCATTCATCTGGTCATCTGGTCACCTGATCATGTGATTTCCCTGAGAGGATTTTGGGTAACACATGTTCCATGGGGCAGGTTATGTGTCTTGTTAAGATAAGGGTCCCATGGACAACGAGCACCACCAGGCAGGACCTCAGCTCGCGGAGCCCTGAGCGAGCTGCCGTGACCATACATTATCTGGAGCAGCGGTCACCAACCGGTGGTCCGCGGACCACTGGCAGTCCGTGAGGTCCAAAAGGTTGGTGACTGCTGGTCTGGAGGACAGCATGCCGAGCTGACCACACAACATGGCAGATCCCCTCTGGGAGCTGCCTGCTCTGGTCTCCCAGTCTGACTGTGGGCCTGTTCAGGGCCTCCCAGGCACTGGGAAAGAGGCGCCGTGTGGGAGCTCAGGGAAGGCGTGGGAGGGCAGGCGTGGGGGGCTGGGCCACATGTGTCTTCCCTGGTTCCTTCAGCCTCTCTCCTGGCAGGGGGCCCTGCTGCCTCCACATGGCTCCTTGCTCAGGCTCCCAGGGAGGTGATTCTTCTGCTTCTACTGGGGCCAGCTCTGCCTGCCTCCAGGACGCCCTGACAGCTAGACCCACAGCTGGCTGGCCACAAACCCTGCCTCCTGGATGGAGAGCCTCCCAGAGGACCACGCAGGCTTCAGGAAGATGTACATGTCCCCACCCTGCCCTCGAGAACTAGGAGCAGAGCATAGGTAGGGAAGAACCGGCCATCTGGCCACGGCCCTTGGAGGGGGCACCCTGAACCTACGTTGTCTTCTCCCGTGTGGGTGCTCCCCTGGGGCTGAGACAGTGCCTGGCACACAACAGGAGCTCCAAATGGACTGTGGGCGCGTGGATGAAGGGGCAGGCGGGGCTGAGCAGGGGCGCTGGGCCGGAGGCTTTCTGCGAGCTCAAAATAGTAGGATGCTGGCACAGAACACGAGTTTCTGAGATGCCTGCCCCCCACCTCCTGGCTTCCAGCTGTGACAATCACCTCGACTCCTTAGCTGGACCCTGGAGGGCAGCCTGGCTGAGTCTCTGGCAGCAGTGGGGGGAGAGGGCAGCTGCCACCCCAAACGCCTGTGAAAGGAAGGCCATCTGTTCATTCTTCCCTGGATTATCGGGGTCCTGTCTGCAGCCCTGTCCTGGGCTGAGATAGCAGCTCCCTTTGGGATGGAGGCAGCTGCCCTGCCAGGCTGTGAGGACAGAGCTGATGGGCCGAGGGCCGAATCTGAAAGGCCGCCAAAAGGCAGAAGGTGGGTGACGACCCGTGGGCGTCTCTTCTCCACTGTGAGCCTTTCTCAGCACCGACCGGCTCCTGGAAGCTTTCAGATTCCAGTGCAGCCGTGCCTCGAGCTGCCAGGACCGCCTGAGAACCTCCTTCGGCCAGATTCTGACTCGGCCTTTGAGAAGTCCAGTGTTCCAGAGGCCAGCCCTCCACTCTCCTGCCTGCTCCTGGTCCCGCTCCATTTTCCAGTGGGGCACGGTGTAGCCTGGCCCCGGCGGTGGCCAGAGGGGCAGCGCCAGGCCCCGGGAAGCTAGAGTTCTGAGGTTAGGGGGAGGCGAGGCCTGGGCTCCACATTTTGCCTTTGCTCAGCTGGGCTATTTTTAAAAGCCTGTGGTTCCAGCAGGAAGCCATCATTAAAGTTTTCCTAGGCAAAGTTGCTTTTGCAGAGAAAAATTACAGTCCTTCTCTCGGGAAGATCAGAGGAGCCCTGCCCGGCCGCATGGCAGAGAACACGGCCTAAACCCTGTCATGTGGGCTCAGGCTCTGGAGCTTCCAGGCCCGTGCACCAGCCTCCACAGCCCCCGGGGGCGTGCCGAGGACAGAGCCCCTGTAACCACCCGCATCCCCCTGACCCTCTTGAGGTGGGCGGCACCAAGGATGTCGGCCTTCCCCAGGAGAGCTGAGCTGCTCCTGCAAAAGGCCCTTCTCTTGGTGGCCCCGAGGCCGCCGAGAACACAGGTGTCTGGGAGTTTATGGGCTCCTAGCAATTTCTCTGGCTGGCTCCGAGGCCTGGCCTGCCCTGGAGCTGTGTAGGCTCCAGGTGATGAGAACTCAGGGTCCTGGTTCCAGGCCGGGCAACTCTTCCAGCTGGTCTGTCTGGGGGCTTGGTTTTCTGCCACGGCTGGCTCAGACAGTGGAGGCGTGAATTTCCTCCGTGTGAACATGTGCTACGTGGAACTCAGGCCCCCAGCTCCCAGGTTTCCCCGAGGGAGCAGCACAGCCAGCCCCTCCGCAGAAGCAGGGCCACACCTCCCACCTAGGGACCAGCGGGAGGATGCCCAGGCAGATGGAAATGGCCTCGGGGGGTGGTGAGAGATTCAGGTTGGTTGGGGTCTCCAGGAGAGATGCCCCTTTGGAGTTGAGGGAATGGGGACTGTGAGCTCTGGGGGGCACTCGGGGCTTCTGAGAAACACCATGGCTGTGGCCACTCTGATATGCCACCCAAAGATGGTGGCAACCCCGCCCAGGAAGGGCTGGCCAGGCCGCCCGCTGGGTGAGTGGGTGGGTGGCTGCGGGGAGGTGGACAGGCCTATTTTGGTTTTGGAGGCAGGGGCTGGAGAGCCCTGCAGTTTCCAAACCACAGACGCCTCCTCTTTCCAAACACTTTCCCCTCCGTCAGCAGTCTCCCCGGCTCCCCTGTGGGCCCCCACAATTTACCCAACCCCACTGCAAGGGGCCTTTTGATTCCAAAGGCCTGGTTGGCTGAGGGAACAGGGAATGGAGGCCCTGGGGAGGCACTGCTTTTCTCTTGTCTAGTCCTATATGACCTACTACCTGCTTCCCCCCATCAGCTCGGCTCTTTGTAACCAAGTGTCTCCTAGCCAACTTCTAGCAAGTTTTTCTTGGCTGCCTGATTTAACTTAGGGCTAAGACTGGGAAATAATGTTGTTTAGATCTCTTATATGTGCGTGTGCGTGTGTGTGTGTGTGTGTGTGTGAGAGAGAGAGAGAGAGAGAGAGAGAGAGAGAGAGAGAGAGAGAGAAGTTGTGGACTTGCATTTGCATATTTATGGGTGACCACAGAAGTATGTGTCTGGCTGGGTGGAGTTGTGACTATATTGCCTGTGTATCTGTGGCATGGGGGCCATGCACATGAGACTCCATGGAGCTATATGTGTACTTGTGGTATTGCTGCAGAGCTAAACATGTGTGGCCGTGAGCAGTGTGTGTGGCTGTTAGCAGTGGGTGTGGCTGTTATTGTGACTGTGTAAATAATGTGTACATGGAGCAGTCTACATGTGGTTGCATATGTGGAATTCTGTGTGGGATTGCCTGTGACAATGTCCTGTGGCCACCAGGGCTATGCAGAGTGGTGCGTCACTGGCTGCACGTGTCCATGTGGCTGTGGAGACAGAGTTGTACTTGGGGCTCAGTGTGTCACCGTGTTTGGAGCAGATGCTGGAGGGGATGGGAAAGGCCGCGCCTTCCTCCCTGCTGTTTTTTCCAGGCCCGTGTCTCGCTGTCCTTTGCCACCAAGGCTCGGGGCTGCATCCTAGCCTGGTCCCCCAGCAATGCTGTCCCACCCCTCCTAGCTCTAGGCTGCTTTTGCTTTACATCCCACCTGTTCTTGCTGTTTCCATGACCCAGCCCCCTGCCTTGTGCTAGCCTCCGGGGTCCAACCCACACTCCATCTTCAGGACAAGCTGGGCTCCTCACGGTCAGTGCTCTGAGCCTGACACTAAGCCAGCCACAGGCAGTGGCCACCACAGAGTCCAGGCTTCCTGCTGCCTGGGGCTTGGGGACAGATACTGAACATGGTCTTATATTTGTTCAGGAACAAACTTCAGGGTCGGGATGCAAGTCACAGGGCACCCCTGCCATTCTAGAGAGGCCAGTGCTCATCACACACCCTCTCAGCTCTGCCTGGCCCTGCCCGGAGCATATACAACACGCTCTCCCAGAGGCAGGGGAAGCTGGCCGCTCTGGCCCGGGGGCTCTGGACATGTGTCAGGGTTCGTTAGAGGCCCTCACCCACTATGTCCCCAGCTCCTGGACGTTGAAAAGGCCCTGAACCTGCAAATGTCTTGGTTCCTGATTAGCCTGGGTGGCAGACCAGGGGCCTCCATGGAATCCTCTAGGTCAGCAGCTCCCCACCCCAAGTCCCAATGGCTGGTGCTGGAGATGCTGGAGGCGGCAGGCTGGGTCTGGCTCTTGCTCCCTTTCTAGTTCCCTGGGAGCTGGCTGGAGGAGGTGGGTTATGGGCTGGTCCTTCTTCCTACTCTGTCTCTAAGGAATGCTGGAACAGCTTTGGCTCAGGGAGCACCTTCTCAGGGGAGGAAGGCAATGCAGCGTGTGTGTGTGTGTGATGGCCCATGAACAGATTCAGAAACACTCAGTTCTCTTAATCTGCAGTTCCCAGGACAAATGTGGCCTATCAAGTCCAACTGCTCCCCCACTGTGCCTCAGGTCCCATGACCCCCACCCCCGTACAGATAGAAACCAGAGCCACCTCCAGTGTCATCCCGATTCCCAGCAACCCCCGTGCCCCCCTCCTCACCCCTCCCCTCCCCCAACAGCTGCAGTGGGCGAGAGAAAAGCCTGGCCAGTGGATCTGGGTGAGGAGGTCACAGGCAGAGCCCGAGAGGAGCAGAGGTGTTAGTGAGAGAGAAAGAGGCGGCAGCTGCAGGTGAGAAGCCAACGCCCGCGGTCACCTCGGCTGTGCTGCCTGTTGACCATCCCGCCCAGGGTCCACCGGCGATCCAGGCGCCGCAGATGGGCCTTGCGTCTCTTGGACACTGGCGCGGGAGATGGCGATGGAATACGCGGCCAACAGGAACCGGGGGGCGGGGGGAGAGAATGGAGATGAAGATGAGATGGATGGGGCAGGAGAGGGAGGGAGGAAGGGAAGGGTCACACTCCCAGGTCAGCGGCACACACCTGCCGGATGGGGGCAGGTCTGACAAGGGACATCATGGGCATGACCAAAGCTGAAGGTCATGCCCCAGAGCCAGAGTTGGGCTGAGAATTTAGAATCCCAGCACCTGAGAGGTGAGAGGGTCCTTGGTTCCAGCCAGTGCAAGGATGACCCTCTGCGGGGACCCCAGGGAGAGGCCGCTGCTCCAGCCGTTGTCCCGGTTCCCAGGGCAGTGTGGGGGCCCATCACACCAGGGCTTGCAGCCCCACTCACCAGGTCCTGCTTGTGACCCTGCCACCATAAGCCAGGCACAGTGTGTGGAAGAGGAGACTCAGATCCCTTCTGCAGGGCTTATAGCTCTTACTGTTCTGTGTTTATGTCCGGCTTTCAGTCACCCATTGAGGGCAAAGACTATCTGCACCCCCAGAGCCCAACAAAAGGCCAAGCTCATGGCTGATCCCTAAGAAATGGTGCCGAGTGAAGTGCACAATGGGTGGAGGCCATGGGCCCTGGTTCTGTTCCTTCTCCGCACATTATCCATGTGAATCTGATGACAGAAGCTGCCTCCCCTGCCTCTCACTGCTCCAGGCCCCTCCGTCCAGCCACCCTCTCTGGGGCAGCATTCTGCGCCGGTCGTCTGGTTGACTCATCCCAGTTCCAGATACCCCCGCCTTCCCATGGAACACCAGTGGCACTGACACCAGACCAGGACTCCAGGGTGCCAACCAGCCCCCACCTCTAGGCACTGCAGGAGGAGGGTGCTAGGCTGCCCCGGTCTGGGAAAGGGAAGCGGGCAATTAGAGTCCCAGCAACCTGTCCGGACACACCTGAACCAAATGCCACCAAAGCTTCTTGGGAAGGAGCTGCTTGCCTGGAAGGAGGACAGTGGCCTGTGTGGTCTGCTTCTTGTAAGCAGGAGGCCTGGACTAAAGGTCAGGAGGTGTGGACGCAGTCCAGGCCCCACGGCCAAGTTTCTACACCACCCTCTCTAAGCCTGCTTCCTCGCCTGTCATTGGAGTGGACTGAACGAGCTCGGTGGAACGTAAGTCAGGGCCTGTGTGAGACCAGCCTGGGAGGAGCTCTGACAGCGGGTAGGGAAGCTCTGATGGGATGAAGGCCCCACTCCAGGGCTTAGAAAGCAGCTGGAAGGACTGAGCACCTGGCCTGAACACACGGCGCTTCCTGGTGGGGCCTGGTCCCTGGAACCCGGTCACAAGGTGGACATGCATTGCAGGGACTGCCATTCTGGTCAAGGGACTGAACTAAAGCATCACAGGAGGAAGGGTGGGGCTCCAACTGCCTGCTGAGTAACGGACATTTAGGGGAAGGATGAATAAGGAGCTGGCGCTCGGCGGACTGCTTGTTTTGGCCTGGGCAATGGGAAGAGGGTAGGGGAGGAGGCCTGGAGGTGGCCTCAGCCCCGGGTGGCAGGCCTCCATCCCCCTGGCTCTCAGACATGCCATTTGGACGGTCCCCACTGACCGTTAGTTAGGGCAAGCGTTCCTGCTGCCAGGACACGGGAGGCTTGGAAATCATTAGAAGCAGGCAGCCGGGAACTAGGGGTGCCTCACACTGGGCTCTGGCAGCTGCTCTGGGGAATACCTGAGACCACAGACAGGCTGTCCAGACCAATGCTGGCCTGAGGCAGGCTCCTTGAAATGCAACTAGAAAGACCTAGCAAATCAGAGAGGCTGATGGTGCAGGGCCTGGAGCCACCTGTCTGGTGACTGCAACACTGAGAAATGACTCACAGACCTGCCCTCCGCATCCGCACCCTCAGCTAGACTAACGGATACTAGAGCCGAGGCCTCTGAGCAGAACAACCCGTGCACAGAAGTTGTGTGGGGTGGGGGCAGGCAAAGGGGGGTCTCTGTGGGGCCCAGAGGAACCTAGGGCTTCTTGGGGAATGGGGGGCTTCTTGAGGGACAGGGAACTGAAAGCTGCCTCCAGGAGTTGGGCTCATTCCTGAGGCCAAAGTTGCCAAACCCCGAGATCCACACCCCACGGGAATTTCCCCTCTCATTTTAGCCTCACATGGGGCCGCAGGGACAGGCCTGGATGGGAGGTGAGCTTGTGAATTGGAGCGAGAGAGGAGGGGCTGAAACATGGTCAGCTTTCTGCAGGGGCTGTGATGGGTTTAGGGAGAAGAGTGGGAAAGCTGCCTCCAGGAGTTGGGCTCATTCCTGAGGCCAGGGATGGGGTGGGCACCAATCCCTGGGGATCCCGGGGGCAGCCAGCTCCCAGAACCTGCCTCCTTACCCGCCCCCCACAACCTGCAGGCCCTTACCTTCCCCGCTCTTGGAGGTGTTGATGTCTGAATCGTCCCGAGTACCATTCTGGGCCTCCAGGTAGGTGGCAGGGACCCAGCCCTGCTCCTCAGAGGTGCTCACGAACCACCATCCTACAGAGGGAACAAGAGAGAATAGTGGCATGAGAACCCAGAGGGGTGGCAGAGGCGGTAGGGCCTGGATGAGGAGGAGAAGGCACAGAGCCAGACAACCCAGGAGCCCGGCAAATGCCTGGCCCACGTCCAGCCTCTAGGAGCCTGATCAACACGCTCCGCGAGAAGAGGGCCCGATGGACTGCGATGCACACTTCCACAAGTGTTTGATGAAAAAAATCCAAATATCGAGACAATGGTATGTCCAATGTGTGAAAGTCACCCTGCAGGAAAGGCCAAACCCAGAGACCCTGCAGGGTCTGTGAAGTAGGACCACTGGTGTGGCCCCGAGTTCGGACGCTTTCTCTGTTTCTAAGGTATCCAGGGAAAAACGCCTCACAGGTACCTTCTAATGGTCACTATTCCCCTTTCCCCATCATGGGTCAGTGGCATTTCCACATCTGTGCTCCTTACAGCTGCCTGTAAGTGTGTTGACATTTCAGTCACAGTAAGTGGGCACTGCACCCTTGAGTGACCCTTGACGGTCATGGCCAAGTGATAAAAGCTCGTTCATTTTCTTTCTTCATGCATTGGTTCATTCATTCATCATTCAAACCAACGTTGACTGAGCAAAGGACTCTGAGCACCCAGGTCTTGGAAGTCTGCTAAATGCCTTCCTCCCTTCCTAGAAGGTACTCTTCACAGGATGCCTTTGCCCCATTCCATTCTGACCCTCCTCTGCCCCCAAAGCAATCTGGCTCCACTTCTTTCCTACCCAGGACAGAGCTCACCAATTCCAAATCTGCACCATTCCCTGTCAAGAGACCGAGGGCTTCACCTAGGCAGCACCGAGGCCTGGTCACTGCCCACAGCAGCGAGTGGCTGCCCAAGGAGGGGGTACACGGGGCTTCCGGGCGTCCCCAGCTGGGCTTAGCACTGGAAGGTGGAAGAGGCTGCCTGAGGGCTGCTGTGATGAGAATGGAGAGGTTCAGAGGAAAACATTCCCACCACTGCACACGGCTCAGAACCCAGGGTCATCGTAGATCTTCAACTAGGTCCTCACTGCCGTGAGTGACAGGCCTGGGGTGGCAAATAGCCCGTGATCTAGTCCTGAATGCCCACTGTGCCTGCCCTTTGTGAGGAGTTGCACAACTCTCTGCGTGCAGCTCTGCAAAGCCACGGAGGCCTAACGTCTGTATGACACCATAACGATGGTGCACGTCACTACATGCTTGTCTATACCCACAGAATGTACTGCACCAAGTGAACCCTGAGGTAAACCCAATCTGGGTGATTAGGACGCGTCAGTATATGCTCATTAATAGTGACAACCGACCGCTCAGATGGGGATATGGATACTGGGGGGTCTATGCATGTGTGCGGACATGTACCTCTGGACCTTCTGCTCAATTTTGCTGTGAACCTAAAACTGCTTTAAAAAAAATAACACACCAAAAAGGAAAATCCATAGATGAGGGGTCTGGACTCCATTGCCACCTGCACATTCTGGGCCCGCCACTCATGGGGCCACGGAGCGGGCTGCCTAGATCAGCATCGCCCCTTTCCCTGAAGCCCAGACCATAAAGGTGTGGCTGCAGCTCACACAGTCTCCAAAGAAGCTGGAGGCATGGACTTTGCAGAGGCTGTGTCTGGTGTGCCCTCCCTGTTCTCTCAGCCTCTGGGGGAGCACTTTCGGGAACCCCAACAGTTTCTGCCAAGAAGTACCAGCTCCGGGTGTTCTTCTACAGAGCCCATGTGGCGGTCACAGAACAGGGAGCCACCTCGTAGGGCTCTCCGCCATGTGGCTCTGCCTCCTTGACCACAGGAGTGGGTACATCTGGCCAATCATCTCCGGCCTAGTCTGTCATCTCCCTGGACATTGTAAAGGTTCAGGCTCTCGTTTGGGAACTGAGATGGGTGTTTGGGGATCTGAACCCTAAGTCCCACATAAACCAGGAATCGCAGGGGTATTATGGGAAGAGATGGCCCGAGAGTTAAGTGAAAACAGAAGCAGCAAAGTCAAGAGGTGGAGAAAATCAGTTCTGATTAACGTCATTTGACCTCTGGGTTCCAGATATCTTACAACTAGAGCACCCCGCTGGACCTCTAATCACAGTGAGTCAATGACCTTCCCGTCCTAACGTAGCCAGAGCAGGTTTTCCTCACTGGAACTGAGACAGTCCCCGCTAATGCCATCCCTACCCAGCAACCACCAAGGTTCACGATCGAAGGTCCACCATCATGAGTCAAGTCCACTGGGCAACTGTTAGCACAGACCTCCCTAGATGAGAATGAAGCTCTCTGAGGCACTTAGGTAAGCAGTCCCTGCCCCGATTCCCACTCACCAGGGCCACCTTGGGAACTGGCCCCTGGCTCCAAGGACCTCATAATCCCAGGATTTGGGTCTCTTTCCTGCTAGTGGCATCATCTCCCTTCCTCCTTGCTTCACCCTTTGGGAACCCTTCCATGTACATGCTGCTCCCTCCCTTCCCCAGGAGCCAGGAATCTGGGATAGAGAGATGGATTTGGACTTGTTGGCACAGGGAAACCCAGGGGCAGGGCAGGTCTGGCCCCCCTCCCACCTTTGCTGCACAGGCCTGGCACACAGGAGGAGCTGGGCAGAGACTTGCTAAGGGGCCAAGTGTGTGGCTGAGGTGCCTAATGGGCAGGACGGCATGATGCCCTGCACCTCAGACTGCCTGGGTGCCCCATGGATGCCAGGGCGATCTGAGCCCTTTCAACCTCAAAATTTTGCTGCACCAGACACTTCTAGGGAGTCTGGGTCACATTATCAGCGACCATGAGCGTCTTCCCACCCCAAGGCAGCAACTTAGGATCCTATTCTCCTGCTGTACCCCCAAGACTTGGGGCTGGGACCCTCATCATCCTCAAGGCCTGGTGGTCCCTGCCCACCTTGCCTGAGAACACTGGCCTGGGCTTACACTCCAGCCCTAAAATGAGCAGGGCTGAGCTGTCTTTAAGCCTCAGGTCAGTCCTGCATCAGGCCCTGCAGAGAAGAACATGCTGCTGGCTTGGCTGTGGGCACCTTCACCAAGTAAAGATGGATAGGTTCAAATACCGCTCAGGTGGGCATGAGTGAACATGGGCAGAGGTGTCCACCAGCTCCATGCAGACCTCCTGGGAACCCTGGCATGAGTCATACAGCCGGGCTTCTGGGGGAGGTTCCCTGAGGCTGCGCCCACCCACGGCTGCTGACAGGCCTGTCCCAGATGCCAGCAGCTCAGACGTCAATTGCTGCAACCAGGGCTCCTGACCAAAGTCACTGCGGCTCCAGCAAGGAGCAATTAGAGCCTGAACCCCTGGGCGTGGCCCAGCTGGCCAAGAGAACTCAGGTGCCAGCCAGCCCCGTGGGGCTCCCAGGCTCACCTCCAATGCACGTGGAGTCCTCTTTCCTGTGGAGGCTGAGTGTGTGCAGGGGGAGGTGTGGACAGGGAGGTAGGTTATGTGTTTTTGAGGCCAGGGAGGTAGGTTATGTCCATGTACATATCTATGTACATCTGGAACAAAAGTGTGTCTGCGCATTTATTATATGTGACGATCATGGTCAGATTCTGAGAAGAGCACCAGGTGCCAGGCACTAATTTTACATGTTACTGTATTTAATCTTCAAGAATCTTGTGAAATAAGTGTTACTGTCATCAGCATCCCCACTTCACAGATGAGGAAACTGAGGCAGAGATAGATGCCAATTAGGAAGAGGCAGAGCTGGACTTCAAACCCAGGAAGTCCAGCTCCAGATTCCATATTCTTAACCACCACAGACATGGACAAGGTGCACGTCTGCCGAGTGCACGAGGGCAGAGGTGGCTCCTGGAGAACGTGTGTCCCTGGATATGGGTGCCTGTCTGTGAGTGGGTATGTGCATGTCACTGGGCATGTGCTTTGTGTATGTGTCTGTGTGTCTGGGTGAGGGTCCTCTGGGGGTGGAAGGTAATACTTAGGGGCCTGGGGGGAGAACAACTCAAATTCAGGTCTTGGCTTGCTACTTCCTATCCATGTGATCATGGACAAATTACTAAACCTCTCTGAACCTCAAAGTCCCCTTTCTGATATGAGAGCAATTCATGAAGCCTTCTTCCAGAGGTTGTTGACGTGAATAAATGATACAAGTAGCTTAGCTTGGGACCTCACACAAAGGAGAAGCTCAAAAACCTTGCACTACCATCAGCGTGGTGGTGGTTGTTTGGTATTCTCCTAGACTAAGAGTCAGCACCCATGGGTGGCCAGGTGGTGTCTGTGCCTGAGGACCCTATCAGGAGACCTCAGTATGACTTGGTGAGCTGAACTGTGTGTGTGTGTGTGTGTGTGTGTGTGTGTGTGTGTGCATGCACCCATGCATTCATTCTAACCTGTGTAGTCTGGTGCTGTCTTCAGGGGCTCCAGAAGAATGGAAGGCACTATCTTTTGCAACATGGCTTGCTCCTGCCTCAGCTCATACAGTACGTGATAGCAAAGCCTGGTGGGAAGTGGGACCCAAGGGGACACGCCCCTGGGATTTGCCTCCTTGCCCAACGTGTCTCAGAGCCATCCTCAGCCTGGCTCCTGTCCTCCCGTTCACACAGTTCCCCAGGACAGAGGTCCTGCAGCCTCCCCTCTCCTGTCCTAACCTCCTCCAGGAAGCCCTTCCGAACCGACCTTCAAATCCCAGGTGCCCAGAGTGTCAACCCCACGACTCACAGCTGCCGTGCACTCTGAGAATTAGTCCCGTTGAGACTGTAAGTCCCATCTGTGTCTACTTTGTCTCTAGGGCAGACCTGAGCTTGCGGGAAGCAGCCTGGCAGATGAGGAGACTGAGGGACAGAGCCTACGTTTTGGAGCCAAAGACCCGAGTCTGAATCCATCCCCGCCACTTCCATGCTCTGTGGCCTCTGAAAAGTGACGTAATGTTTCTGAGCCTTGGTGTTTTTATCTGTAGGATGGGAAGACTTCCATCTACCCTGCAGGCTAGTATGAGGACTGGATGAGATAAAGAACAAGGCATGGGATCTGGCACACAGCAG